TGTATCACAAAAACACCCGACAGAATACTTAGATCAATAGGTCATTTAAATAAAGTTGTTCCGGTTGTTATTGTGTTTCATTCATTTTTGGTAATATGAGCACATTCACAGACACAACAAGAGTAACAAAACTATGATGAGCCATTACCCGACAAGATCCTTAAGTCAGCTGTGCGTATTACATACCACTGAAGAAGTTTGAATGCAAGCAAGAGCACACAGAATGCATGCATTATGCAAGTTTAAAAGCGAAAAAATAATGCAAACCAAACTGACTGACCTTCTCCTAAGAATTTATTGCGATGCCAAAAGTGTATATTAACTACTTACCTTGCAGTAACAAGAAACACTGTTCTATTGGTTATTTGAAATAGCTAACAATCTCCTTTGACCATGAATAGAGCAGTTGTAACGAAATCAGGTGAATACTCCCTATAAAAGTATTGCCCTTGCCGCTGGAATCTTCCAAAAGTACGATATGAGGATTATAATCAAAATCCCACTTTATGCGATTGGCCTATTTCCAAAAAAATCTATGTTTTAACACCTGTGTCTAAGTCTTTTGTTTACTTTCGCCTTGGAGGACTTAACGAGATGTAACGCTATTTAAACAAGGTTCTTTGTTACGCAGATTCCTCAGGCAGAAAAAGCATCTGCTCTTTTAAAAAAACTAACAGAAATGGTGGCCCCTTAAAAGCATGAAAAACAACTTATCTTGGTGCATGCCTGTGCACAGCGACCTTTACATCTAAACGCAAATCCTATTGGATAAAGGTAATTTCGCTGAATTTCACCGCACAACCTTTTAAAAACAGTTTTAGCCCTAGTCAATGGATAACCACAGCGCACGAAAGTCGGAAATTCTCTCCTTCCTGCTCAAGCATAGAGGAGAGCCTGCACATTTAGAAGCTTATTGTACTTTTTTTCTGCTTTGACGCTACGCTTGGCGAATAAGTTATTCGTCAATAAACCTCCTATTTTTATTCCATAAGGCAATCTCTATGATAATTTGTTTTACTACAGCACGAAGATGAAGTCTTCATTGCATTTTTTAGCTCCAACTTCTCGCAAACCAGTGCTTATGTGTCACATTGCATGGTCCTTCCTCTCACAAATACGACAAAAGAGCACAGGAAGGAGGAAATTAAGTCAGAAAGTGCAATTGAATCAGGCCGGAGATCCGCTGAAAAGGCAGCGGGAGACAAGCTAGCTTTATGATGCCCAGCTATGTTTCCTTGATTGTCCCTTGACATAGTGGGCAGTGCGTACGTAAATCATGAGTAACGTAGCAATGACGAAGAACCTTGCAGATGTGCAATGTTCCTGGAATACAACAGATGATTGCGTAACCGTAAAGCTCCATAAAATTTGATTTGATTTGATAAGGCGAGTTTAAATAGTTTAGCTTCATGAAATTATAGTCTAGGGCGTGCCGTATCCTTGCCTCATAAGGAGAATTGGGTTATTCATACAGCACAGACATGCGGAGCCAGCATTTGGTTATGGAAAAGAGAACATTTTGAGCATTGGTGACTTAGTTGAGATAAAACGAAATCGTCCTAAGAGGCCCTAGAGATTGGGATGAGAGATGGAACGATGGCGCCGGAGAGCATTTACCTCCAGACATTTGAATTCCGTTTGTAATCTTCATTTATCGTCTTACATCCAATAAAGTTTTTCGTTTGTTCTTGTTTTTTACCGGAGGGTTTATCTCCAGGTTATCCTCTTTCTCTCGCTCCACAAAAACCAACATTTTATTGAATTCTAGTTCGATTGTATAAATGACCACCTCCTAGTTGTTTTTCATATGTATTTGTGTACTTTTTTCGATGTTAATGATCGGAACATTGCAGCTTGCAATCCGCACAGGTATGCTAGTTCAAAATTAGGATAAACAAAATTGTCTGGTCATGGGTCATGGGTGCATAGTTTACTCACTGCCCCAGTACTTTAAGTTTTCTTGGGTCAGTTGGCGAGTACGTGATAGCCTGCACGCGTATGAAAAATGCATCCGTGTTTTCAGGCAATATTCTTGCAACTCCCTCAGTGCCACCGAGGAGCGAAGAAAATATTTCTCATATTCTCTAAGCTCAGGAGTAGCTTATTGACCTCTTATCTGTTTCACGTGCACCGAGCTCTCAAAATTTCACCTCGGCGAAACGTATCGAAAGATGTCATTACTTGAAAAAATTTTTCATCCTAGCTTAGCTGTGTTCTTAAAAAATCATAAGATCTGGTGTAATTTTGGTGCTTCGACGAAAGCGTGAAAATTTCCAAATTGTTTTGAGGGATAACATAGATTATTTACCGCGAAACTGCATTACTGATATTTTTAAACGCCGCAAATAATATTTTTAGGAGAAAAAAATTTCTTTCGTTCAAGAATTTATCTTTCACTGCATCGTTAGCATACTTCAGTTGCAAAATGCAAAACTGGCATCGAAACTGATGTTAATTTTTCTTATTCGATAGGACAACTTGTTACATCAAAATTTTACTCTTACGTCGAATTCAAATGCAATTATGATGGCGTCTAAAAGTTTGTTACGTTGAATTCACATGTATTTGCTTCGGCTTCTTCTCATCAACAGCTTTGTTAGCGTTCTGTCGGAACGATAGAGATGACTAACATTTATTATCTCCAGGAGAAAACAAAACAACAGTCTTACTTACGATGTTTTTAAAAGGAACAATGGTGCATGACAACTTGGCAAATTGGTTTCCTGTGTCTTGCTGTGAGCAAACGGATAGGACCTTGCACTTCAATTTGGAATCTGCTCTTCAATACACAGGTATCAACCAGCGACGAAACTCGATGAAACTGATCAGCAGCTAAGATGTTATTGTCACTCTTAAATATCGATATGTGAGTGTTGTTTTTTCGTGAGTCTGCTGCCAAGCAATGAACGCAGTGATCTGATTGGCAAATTTATGCAAGTTAGTGCTGCTCTTATATGATTAGGACATTAAAGCCACTGAAAAGCGGACAGAATTCTGTCTTATTAACCGACATTTTCATTATCTCATTAGATGGGTTTTTAATCCTCTTATTGTACTTGTTTTCATATATTAAACACTTAATTTATGTATAGCGAGAAAGCACCGTAACCACCTCAAGTAAATTAGCTCAAACTCAGTTATCGGCCTTAAAAAAAAATCACTCGAGTTTTTATGAATCTCTTCCGTCGAAAAGTTTGATATTAAAGGGCTTTTCAGATTGAAAGTTAGAACTTAACTACATCTCTAATATCATATCATATTTCGTTTGCCTATGGTACCTTTTGGTCTCCCTGGTAATGCACCTGTTTGTTATTGTTGTGGTAAACAACGACGTTTTTGGGTGTTAAAATCCATCTAGTATTTTTGCCTACGCGCAGATAGTTTAAAAGCGTCACGTGACCGATTATGTTCCCGGATGAAACTGGAGGACAACAACAATCATTCATCGAAGTGGAGTGGCTTGTAGTGGTAGAAATATTTACCGACACTGCGGTGAATAGCTGTCTTAGTATAAAATGAAAAACAGTGAAATCTTTTACCGCAAAAAGATGATTTTAACTCATTTATTCCAGCAAAGATTACAATATATTCAGGCTTAAATCCCACGTGAGTTGCTTGGAGGTGAAAGCAAAGGATGTTCGGAGTTTGAGTAGCCAATCAGAGCGCGTCTTCAACGCAGTTCACTATTTTAGTATCCACTAAAGGCATTTATATTGAAAACACCGGGTAAAACTGGGATGTATGCCACGATATATGAATCAATATGCGTGTTTCTCACTTGGGATAGATAATTTTCCTATGAACCTATACTTACGCATGTTGTGGTGATTATCAACGTAACTTGCAATTGGAACTTTTTCGCCAAGCTGAAGATCCGAGTCTGTGAGGTCGCTATTGATTCGTTGTCATGCCAATTGTTGCTAATTTCAATGAGCACAGAAGCCTAACGACGCTCAGTGGAGTGTCAAGACTTTTCAAAATCTGACGTGACCGGGTAAGTCGATATAGCTACTTATGAAGTCGCTACACAAAATCCGTCATAATGTTTGGACGCATGACACCTTTAAAAACTCTCAGGGATAGTAGTAAAATAAGGAATATTTTGCATTAAAAAAGTGTTCCCTGTTCTTAACACTCGTAAGAGTAATGAATGATAACATGATACAGTTGTGTATGACAAGTCAATTTGTATGTAAAGGTCCTTTTACGCTCACCCGTGTTTTATCAATGTCGTTAGATGATTCCAGTTTCAAGTGTCAAATCGATCATCGGACATTTTCGTTTTCCTTGACTATAATCGAATTTAAAACACAATTTTCGGCTTTTCTTCTGACGCGTTTAATTTACTCTCATTAGGAACAATTTTGCGCGTCTTTTTTTTCCTTTCACAAGTATGTCACTTATCCGGGTCTGTTTATGATCCGGCGACTCTTGGCATTTTGTCGCCACTGTTATGTTATTCTTCAAGTGCAGAGGAGGATGTTGGTAAGCTTACGACACAGGTACGGATATTCTAAGGACAATTCCCTTCCATTTTTCCCGGATTATCGAATTATCAGTCTTAATAATCAGAGAACAATACATTCTCTATTCGGAAAAGCCAGCTTACGATTATTGAACCACATCCTCCGTTAACGCGGGCATGAATTCCGAACGAGCGTAAGAGGGTAAGTTTGTCCTTTTATGAGTCAAGTTTGAGTTACAACAAACCCCAAGCCTCTCTCATTGTTAAAACCTGTATTGAAACGCTACTTAAGTGTACCTGAAGAAGAGTTCCTGAGTTGGTGTTACGCAACTTTTTACACAGGAAATACCGCGCGTTTATGTGAAACAATGTGAGCGTTTGTCTCATACCCATAATTATACTTCATCCATGCCCAATACTTTTAGCCACCATCTGGATACGACAGCGGGGTGACGACACTACATTTGCCACTGAGTCCTAGTAATCCTAAGGAGACGAATGACAATTGTTTTTTTTATTTATCTATTTTTTTAAACTCTGCATTGCATATCAGCTCGGATATCTTAAAGTTTGCTATCATAATAATCTAGTACATATGTATGAGAGATTTTTTGTACTCTCTCAATAACACTTCATTTAAATAATGCCTTTTAATGAGATGTGTAAAATCGAAGTTCCTTGTAATCACTTTGAGTAACTTAATACTCGCAATAACATCCTACAGGTACATTCCTGATCATAACGGGTCTGCGCCAGGAACACTGTCCGGAACTTGGTATGCGCATGACTTTCACGTCGCTCATTCTGGTCAAACAGCGCATACTCCCTTGCGCTGAACCGCAGTGCACTGGATTGTTTGGAGTGCCCTCGCATTTCACGGTGCGGACAAACTTGGGAAAAAAGATGTCATTGCTTTGGAAATACATTTGAGGATTGATACTTGAGAAGATCTCACGACAGGCACGAGAGTTTATGAATCGCTTTGCAACGTGAGGTGAAGTTCTGTGGAGAGAGAGAAAATAAATTATTGAACTTATACACTCACGTTCGTAATGTGTACCACTTATAAGAAGAGTATGACAAATCACTTTTGTTTTTCGACCCTATCAGGGGATACATATCGTTAAAAAATTTTATTGTAATCTGAATTGCAGTAAGCAGAAACAAATTGCTCAGGGTATTAATCCTGTTAATATCTTTACATCCTCTACAATCAACAAACATCACGGGCGAGTAGAGTATCTTTGATTGAAGGAGGAACATGAACGGGAACATAAACTTTTGTGACAACTTATGTCTGTAGTTTAAATGTCGTGTATCACTCTTGCGGTGAAGGTTTAATTCATCTGCTTGAGTCACAAGGAAAGTGAGTGGAAAGTGCGGACATCAATTGCCCTCAGACTTGATGAAAATTAAAAATAAAATAAAATTTAATTCTTTCTTTTTGTGTCTGGCAACTTAAAAAATGTGGCTTTTTTTCCATTGTTTCTATGACAAATTCGAATGAAGACTGCTCAGTAACAATTCTTAAATAAATCAGAGATGTGCATGGAAGGAAGATTAAGTGATGGTTTTTGCTTGACATAAATGCCTACGACTTTTGTCGTGGGAGTTTACCTCAAAGTGTCATTTGCTGATTCCAAAGCTGGAGGTAAGTGACCTTGAAAGTCTTGATTTAACCCATTCATCGGCTGGAGAGAGCCCACTGTCAAGTAGGTCATGAAAAAAGGCAGTAGGAACTAGAAAGGAAAAGAACTACCGTAAACAGTCGTTGGAATCCGGAGTTCGAAACTGATTCGGACTCTTCTCCACAACACAGCGGTCAAACATGAGACACTCACAGAAAGATCAACTGGCCGGCTGTACGCCAATTTCCCGCAAAAAATTCAAAGGCAAACATGAGAAACAACCCCTATCACTCAAAGTCTGACGTAAAAAAGTTTGAAACATTCATATATATCTGTATATCTTATTTCACAGCGAGTCACTTCCTGCTGTTTATTTACCTGACCGGTCTTTCGTTTAGAATGCCTCTTCGCCATCACAACGTTCGCACAAGCGCAAAATTTGACCGTTATGCTTGATTTTGGAATTCAAACATGCCTTTTGCTCTCCCCTTGTAGTTGCGCGTGTCGCAGTTTTTAATTTTGCACCTGCAATAATTATTTGCCCCGAGGGCAACGTGCGTCGACATAAGAAAACAGGCTAAGGGTGCGAATTTACTAACAACTTTCAGAATGCTGAACTGACCGTAGATACAGACAGGCTGATTTTGCGGAAATACTCCCGAATGAGAAACTTTGACGCGCTTAAAATGAAAAACAAAAAAGTAAACAAACTACAGAAATGACTACCTGCACTAACTTTTACGCCATGGATGGCTACAGCAGTTGAGGAAATAACAATGTTTGTTTGAGGCAGCCAGGGAGATAGTTCCTCCCTCATGCATCAATATTAATCCCTTTAAAAAACTGAGAAACTTCCTTAACTGAATAGATACCCCTCGCAAGTTTCTCTGAGCTTCCAACCTGTGTGGAAGTTATCTTCGAACACAATCCAATCCTATCTAATCTTGGCTTCAGCATTTACTGCTCTCACATACCCTACCTGAACTGACATACTCGTACGGACAGGACAAATTATTCTTCACTACATCGGTGACACTCTCGTTTCTTACCTCAGCAGAGAACATCTTGTTTCAAAGTTTGCTTTTGTTCGATGACAAATAGTTTTTTTATGCAGCACAGGGTCACGACTGTGCTTTTTATAGATGCATTCTAGTATTATTTGATTTCTTTAAGTTGATAATAAAAAAAGTAATTATATTCCGAGTGTGATAAAAGTTTGTAAATGCTTGGACTTCTATGGCAGCCGTAAACTTCCCTCATCAACCGACTATTGGTTTTTTCATGCTTATCAGATGACAATTAAATTTCTTACACACGATCAAGTAGAGAGACTATCATTTCATATTTTTTTCGATCATTTACAGGGTACTTTGTGGTAATTATAAATCTTGGAGACATTTAGCTTACAATGTCAAGAACCCTCGTTATAACCCGAACTTTGCAGCCTGAACTATATCAAGCCTTTAACCAGAGACACGTTCGTAAAACGTGATCCGATTCACTTTGAGAAAAAAGGTTCTTGAAACTTATCGATAAAATGCGACTTTTCTAGTTGAAAATCAGAGAGTTTAAGAGACTTTTTATAAACATTTATCTGGTTTTAACAAGAGGATGAGTGCCTGCTCTCTTTCGATTCACTCATCGCAAATGACTTTTGCACTTTTAAATGCCACAGAGAGGTTACAGAGTAATTTTATCAGTAAAACTTTGACGGTTCTTTGCTTAATGGAGAAAGTAATTGCAATTTTTGTCAAAGTTTTGCACTCTTATGATAAGAGAATTTGAAACTTGTAATGCGTTCCAAACTCGACAGCTACTTGAAATTGGTTGTTTAATGCAAAGTAAGAACTCGAACCATCGATGGGTAAAAGCTGTTTATCTCGTATTCAGAGTACTCTTTTAAGAGATAAAAAAGGGAAATAACCCCTCCCTCTAGAAGCAAATTTTACGATTCAAGTTGGATTCGTGATCCTGATGATCTCGGAATCAAACACAAGTAGTACTCAAAAACAAACTATAGTAATCTCAGTTAGTGATAACTGAAAGCAATAAAATAAACTTTGAAAACCATGTGTTGATAGCTTCTTTTTCAAAGAAAAGTGGCTATTACTCGCCCACGAATGGCAAGATGTGGATGCCAGGAAGTTCAAATCACCTTTGCGGAACCACAGATACACAAGGTACACAGACGAGAGGCCACGAAAGAAGGCGAAGACAGCAGTACCCTGTAATCTCTCTAGCAAGCCTTGACCAACCAGCGGTGCCCGTTTGAATCAGCCCTTCCTTTGGCCTTGAGAAATTTTGCACGCATGTATGAAACGAAATTAGCCCGCGGAACAAACGTCAAATTTTTGCGTCAAGCAAGCTATGCCAGGAAAGAAATACAGCAATAAAGATCTTTGAGACAATTTGATCAGCCCAATTGAATTTAAGCGGAATTGGCCGAGAGAAGGCGCCCTTTTTCTTAATTGGTTTTTTATTCAGAAATTTTATTGTTTTAAAAACGAACCCTTTTAACTTTACAATGCTAGGGCACTTAATGACCCAGAACGGAAAACTAATATTGATAAATTAATGGTCGTCAATTGTGTAATGTTGGCGGACGTTGTCGACAGATGTATTGAAAAACTTGTCCGTTTTACTTAAGACACTCTTCAGCCCTTTGTCAACTTCTGTATATGTTGATAATTGATCACAAGAGGTGACATCCTGTCCTGAGTGTTTTGATGGGTTTCACTGTTCCCTCTCCTTCAACTGTGTTCATCGCGAATGACTTGAATAAATGCATGAATAATTAGTATTTTTCGCTATTTTAAATTCTGAAGAATGAATACTGGCTTTGTCTTTTGTTGTGAATAGCGTCTGTTTATACTTGATACAGCAAAACTACGGGGTTTCTAGGCTTTTAGAATGTCTCCCCAAGCATTTGATATGCATTTCTTAAATGGGTAGGAGAGTGAGTGGGCAGAGAAATTGTTTCCGGATCCGTCGTGAGAAATTTCTTCGTTTTACATTTGGGATATTTCAGAAGACTTCAAGGATTGCTTACTCGCTTTTCTTTTACTCTTAGTTGTGAGTCGTTCATTTTTATGGTTTTTCTGTTTTATTTCAGTGCAGATTTTCTTGTTATTTTTATAATATTGCCTAAAGCTAATTAAAACCGTTATACTCAATGTGATAGAAGGCGGTGTCCGTTAATCATGGCTATAAATGCATAATGCCCTTAAGGAAACTTCTGCTGTTATTTCTATATGCGTTGCTAGAAACTCATTCAAATTCCTTTTAATGATTGTGTTTTATTCCTTCTCAACAATTATATGTCTAAGACTGAATGTCAACACACTATGATTGCGTGATTGCGTGACAACACATGTACATTACCCATAAATCAAAGCAAGTTACATAATCTTTTGTTCATTCAAAAATTATCGGCAAACCACAACAACAAAGATGGCGTCCGCGAGTGAGATACCGAGCTTTGAGAAATGCCAGCTCAAAGCAACGACCGTACGGGAAAGGAATGAACTGATGTTTAATAATGAGATACTCAGTGATGTGCACTTCATGGTGGGTAAAGATAAAGTCCGAATTCCTGGTCATAAATACGTTTTAGCCATCAGTAGCCCGGTGTTTTTTGCTATGTTTTACGGTCGAATGGCTGAACAGGGATCAGACGTGGCCGTTAGTGACTCCGAGGTTGAATGTTTTATGGAACTTCTGCGCTTCATTTATACAGACGAAGCAATTTTGACGCTGGACAATGCCCTTGGAGTTCTTTATTTAGCAGAGAAGTACATGTTGCCGGTGTTAGCAGCCAAGTGTATCAATTATGTCGAAGCGAGTTTAAATCCCGAGAATGTTCTAACGGTTCTGAGCCATGCAAGGTATTTAGGAAAAGAAGAACTGCAGAAGAGGTGCTGGGAGGTGATAGACACATACACGACTCAAGTTCTAGAATCAGAGGCATTCCTAGAGCTTGAAATAGAAACACTGTCGCTTCTGGTACAACGAAACACAATATCGGTTAAAGAGATTCAAATGTTTAAAGCTATAAATTCTTGGTCAGAGAATGAATGTCTTCGCCAAGGCATTAAACCGATTTCTGACAACAAGAGAACAGTGTCTTCGCAAGCCATGAAATTTATAAGATTTCCTCTGATGACGCCCTTAGAATTTGCTGACGAAGTTGCCAGATCTGGAATGCTTTCCTATGAAGAAACAACCAACATATTTTTATACTTCTTTTCCACCCGCGAAACCGAACTTCAATTCTCTAAAATTCCTCGAAAACCTAGGGAAACTTTGTTGAAGAAGACTTTAAGATGCTCTAGATTTAAGAGCTGTTGCGGAAATGACTGGTTCTGTGACACAAGAAAATGCGACGCTTTAAAATTCATGGTGAACCGATCGGTTCACATCAAAGGAATAGCAGTTTACGGCGCAAGCAAACTTGAAGGTGATTATACTGCCAGCGTGCAACTCCTGAAACAGACCAAAGTCCTCGCTGACGGTGAACGTATATTTTCTTCTGGTACAAGCGCTTTGTTACACGACGTTCTGTTCGATAGACCCTATTTAGTCGACAAGAATGAAGTGTACACAATAAACTTGATGTTACAAGGACCATGTTCTCAAAGTGGAAGAGACGGATTTTCCTCTGTTGAAACAGAGGGCGTGACGTTTACATTTATTGAATACACTAGCCCCAATGGTACATCAGCATCTGCTGGGCAAATCCCTGAAATTATCTTTCAGCTTTAAGAAGAAGACAGCAAAAATTTAATCCCTTAAGCACTGCATGCCTCATTAAGTTTAGTCACTTATAATAAACTATGCATGATAATGATTCATCCTTTCAAAACTATACCTTTAGGGAGAGCTTTGTTTGATAAGAATATCCATTGTTTTTACTTCTAAGTACAAAAACAATTTCTAAAACACCCTATTTGGTTTTGTGATCAATTGCCTCAATTCAATAACATTGAAATTTCATTGAATGCTTCAAACATTTAAGAGCAAGAACGTTAAAATTTAGTATGTCGTAGTTTTGATATTGATGGCTGCAAATCATGTCTCAAGTATTTGTTCCCAATGTTTATTGGATATTTTGGTTAAAATGTGTCTCATTTTAAAAGATTTTTTATTCATGTGTATTCTATCATGCAAGTTGTATTGTCATGACAAAGATAAGCCTAGAAAGAAATGTGGGAAACATCATTTTGCTGCATTTTGATCGCAAATATTTATCAGTTGAATCATTTTGTATAATAACGAATATTATTCCCCCAGACTTTAAATGGAGATTTTATAAATTTCTGCATTGGCTGTGATTAATTTTATTAAAACTGAAATCAACATACAGTAGAGACATAATTTTTTAATTAGGCTATTTCCAGACTTAAAAACAATTGCAATATTGCATATTCAATTTGACTTTGTCGAGTAACTTGTAAAAAATTTGATCATACTGGGTCTCTACATGTATAACAGTTCAACGATCAGTGATAAATGCTGTGAATACCAGTCAGCTCCAAGGGAAAAAAAAGGGAAATGATCAAATAGTTAACAATGTAAATAAAAGAAAAATTAAAAGGTAAAGGAAAGACTGGTCTTTTATAATAATATGGCGGGAAATTAGAACTCGGCAAGCGCGCAGGAGTATTTCTTCTACCAATTAGAGATTGAAACAACTGTGACGTTGAAGTTTAGTTTCCTGGAACATTTCGCGAGGGCCTGAGTTCTGCATGGAAACCAACTGCAAGCCCTGGGAATGAGTTGTTTCAATATGGCGGACGATGGAGGGAAAGGATTTTCTCCTTCAGAAACGACTAATGGTGGTGATAATTCTCAATCTGACACATTGGTAGAGACAAAGTTAGATCTAGAATCTGTATCGTTGGTTCCTGGTGTCAAACTCCGGCCTGGGGTAGCACCTATCAAGACTCAGTAAGTGTGTTCAAACGTTTTGAATTGCACGTGGCTGCTACAGAAGTGGAGCTTGCGTGAAGTTTACACTGTACACTGTATGCTGTCCATCTATTGCACAAGTTAATTGTTATTTGTGTTTTTTGCTTGCTTTGGTTTGTTTCATTCTGTTGTAAGCCTTCTCCTTGAATTAACCATCGGTGTGACCCACAATCTCAGACTGTGTTTAATCGGAGTTACACAAGACTTTCTGTATAACCTAACCATTTTATCTGAATATTCTTAGTCTTAAAGATAAACTGACAAAATGATATGGCTTCACCGACAACCTGGCCACCTACTATTTCTTATTTTCTTTTTAATTTCAAACCTATTACCTGCCTTGCCCCTCAGTTTTTCTTCTTTTCCTCTCATTTTTTCAAACAGGTATTTAAAGAAGGTTTCAAAAAGTGCAGCAAGTAAAGTGAGTTCAGATGAAAGTAAAGCATCATGCAATGAAGCTGAGAAAAAGAGACCTGTTTGTGAAGATGAGAGTGATAACAACAAAGCAGGAGAACCTTCTAAAAAGAAGAAAAAACGTGGAATGAACAAAGCCAGACCTCGGGCAGCAAAACTTGATTTTAGCCAGCAGTTGTGCACAAGTGTAGTCAAGGGAGAGTTGTGTGCATATGGTGAGAATTGTAGATATCTGCATGACATTGAAAAGTATGTGACAGATCATAAGCTGCCTGATATTGGAGAAACCTGTGTGAACTTTGAGAAATATGGTAAATGTATATATGGAATAACATGTCGGTATGGGAAGAAACATATTTCCCAGAATTATGAAAACATTGTAAATGAGGAATTGTACAAGGAGACTGCCCCTTCAATGACAAGGACTGTTTTAAGCAAAGAGCTCACATTTTCATTGAGGAAAAAACAGTACAAGTTTCCCAAAGCAGACACGTTCCTGGCACAGCTTGCGAAAGTGAAAGCTGAAGGGAAGGAATACAGTGAACTTGGAAGTTTACAAAGACCATGTCCCAAAAGTACAGGAGCCATCACAGATGAAGATGTCATCAAACTTAGACCACAAGAAAAGAAAAAGGCATGTACAATAACTATTCATTCAATAGGACACATGCTTTGAATATAAGCTGTCACTGAATAACTGTTGGTTGTCCTGTTTTTTCCTCCTTTCAGATCAATTTTGCAGACAAGCTTTATTTGGCACCACTAACAACTGTAAGTTATAATTTCCAACAACTTTATTGTGTGAAGCTGATGGAACTGTATTGGCGTTGAATTTTTCAGTGACACATTGTTAACTATTTGATCATACTGGCTTTCTACATGTATAACAGTTCAGCAATCAGTGATAAATGCTGTGAATACCAGTCAGTCAGGGAAAAAAAAGGAAAATTTTGTCCGGTTTTGACCAGACCCTGGTAAGAATAAACTCTGAGTACTCTTACTATTTTTTCTCTTACTAGAGTTTTACCCACATTCTCAGGGCAGACTCTGGATGAAGGATAATTTCCAGAGTTCCAACATTTTTAAACCAAAGAGAAGCTCAAACTTTTTAGATTAAAGATTTTTCTTAGAATTAATCCTGCTTTGAAATTTATGTAAGTTTCCTATTTAGAGAAATATTCAAACCATTGGCTGAATGAAAAGCAATGTTGATAATTAACGTTGGTTGACTTATAATTAACTTAATTGTTCCTGGTAAAATTTTGAGGCCTTCTTGTAAGTTACTTTTTTGTATTGTAGTTTCTGACTCTTGCTTTCACAAAATATCTATTATTGGGACTCAGAGTTTTTTCTTTGTCCCACACTCTTGATGACACGAAAAACATCTTTCTTTAAATCTATTATGCATGGACTCTGTGCACCTTTTTTTTCAAACAAATAGAGGCTTGATTTGCAATTCATGTCAGTCCTATTTTACTTGTACTTTGTTGTTAATAGCTCCAGCCAAGAAGATAACTTGATAAGACATTTACCTTTATGTCTTACCTGTATTTAATAACACTGCACTTGCTTGTTTGCTCAGTTGGTAGAGTGCTGCACCGGTATCACAGAGGTCATGGGTTCAAATCCTGTATGGGCCTGAATTTTTTTCAGGTCTTATTTCAACTACAAGTTCATTAGTGTTTATAGGTGCGAGGATCTCTTATATTTTTTTCTTCACCACAGTGCACATATATGATTTTCATATATCTACAATCATTATTTACTGCCCTTGTAGGTTGGTAACCTGCCGTTTCGCAGAGTGTGCAAACAGTTTGGTGCAGATATAACTTGCAGTGAAATGGCCATGTGTACCAAACTACTTCAGGTCAGTCTCTTTGGCTAATAAAATTATTTTACAATGTTATCTTGATTTGCATTCCTGAAGGATTCTTGATTTTGTTTTTAGTTATGTTTTAAGTATATTTATCGTGAGAAAGATGAAGAAACTCAAGTTGTCCTTGTAGGGCAGTATGTCAGAATGGGCCTTGCTGAAGCGCCACAGCTCTGAGGACATTTTTGGTGCACAAGTAAGGGACTTATCTTTAGTTTGCAAAGTACTATTATAATTCCTTTTGATTTTTTTTCCAGTCTGTAGCCTGAAGTTTACCAAAATCCAAATACAGTTATAATAATTTTATGCAAAAACAATTTGTTTATATGATGATTATAGTGAGTAAATATCACTTGTTATATTTCATATTGTTTGTCAGAATACTGAATTTTCTGTTATATATGCAGCTATGTGGTTCATTTCCTGACTCGATGTCAAAATGTGCTGAGCTCCTTCAGAATGATGTTCCTGTTGACTTTGTGGATATCAATATTGGTTGCCCCATTGACTTAGTATTTAAACAGGTATGATGAATTGAGGGGTGCAAACTTTGTGACTTTTAAGACATGTTGGGAATAAATCTTTGTGTTACTTATGGATGGGATAAAAAGATGATATTTGCCCTTGGTTCTACAGGGAGCTGGAAGTGCTTTGATGGGCCGCATGGGAAAATTTGAGCAGATTGTCAGAGGAATGAACTATGTAAGTATATTAGGAAAGCTTTTTATAAAATAAGCGCTGATATGTTTCTTTCCTGTCAATAAAAAAATGATTTTGAAAGAAATTCTGATAGCATATTGTTAACAAGGAGGTGAATATGTTGCATTTTATTTCACTGTAGGAATAATTTTTATGAAAGATTTACTTATGAATATATAAATTTGCACATTGTTGGCACAATTAAAAAGTTCATAATGATTGATATTGGTGGATGCCTTAAAAGGTCAATCAAAATCTTATTTTTTAGTCATGAATGGAAAAACATTATCTTTAGTTATACACTTTGAAATAAAAGTACTTAGGACTACTTTTATGAGCTTATTAACTTATATAGTGTAGATATCAATTGGTGTATTTTACTTTTCAGTTTCATTTTATATTTTATATTATTTTTTTGTCTCTCTTCAAGGTTATGGATATACCTCTGACTGTGAAAATGAGAACTGGCATCAGTGATAAGAAAACTTCATGGAATGCACACAAGCTCATTTCCAATCTTAAGACATGGGGCGTTTCACTGGCAACTGTAAGTAAATTGGAAACAAATTGGCTAAAGACAATTGTAATAACTGAGGACAATGGTCTAATCATCATTCAGCATATGTAAACTTATGTTGTGATTAAGAGTTCTGGTTGGTTCATGTGTTATGCATTCTTGGTTGGGTAAACTGAGTTTTGAACTCTCAAACTGCTTCTTTCTGCCTCAGGGAAAGGTTTAATGATTGCATACTGACATCCAGATCAAGAGTTCTGGCTGTTTCGCTTCTTATGCATTCTTGGCCAAGTAAACTATTTCTTTCTGTCCCAACAAAATGATAAATAGTTACCAGCAAGCTGTCATATAAACCTTAGGTGTAGGGAAGTGGGGAAAGAAGTAACTAGATATAAACCATCATCTGAAGAAGTTGCAATACTGCTGTTGGCCTAATGCCTGAGAGACAAAAGATTTGAAATTTGGGTGTAATCTGTGCTTGTCAAACCTGTCAGTCAGGGTGTGTGTCAAATCAAAGTTCCAAGCCTTCCAGGAGGGAGTAAGCTGTTCTTTAGTTCTACATAACTATAATTAATGATAATTAATGATGATTCTATTTTTTTCAAATGGAATTGTAATTTGCTGTTAATAGTGTGCTGTGACTGGTTCATATTTATGTTGCTGCTGTGCTCTAGGCTTGAGAAAAACCTTTTCTTTTTGTCTTTTTCTGAAGCTCCATGGACGCTCAAGGGAACAACGATACACAAGACTAGCTGATTGGGAGTACATTAGTGAGTGTGCTAAGGCTGCTGCACCAATGCCTCTCTTTGGTAAGAGAATTTTACTTTATTACTTTTTCTCTATCTTTTGAAACAGTTTCTAACAGCTAACCCTAAGCAATTCCGCAAGGTGAAATTATCCTGAGGAACCTTTCGTACATGCATTTAGGAGTGTTAAGAGTGATAAACATATAATTTCTTCTCAAACTATCACCCCTGGATCAAGCATGAAGGTCATGAGAATGAGGGAGATGATCACCAAGTAAAAAAAACTCTTAACTGTTAAACAAATTCTCCATGTCAGCACCCGAGGAAATGTATAGAGAACAGTATGGAGAATATGCATACTGATGTTAGGGTGTAAAGGGTTAAACAAATTATCTGCAGCATTCACAGATTTCATCTAAAATTTTTTTTTATAATGTACAAGATTTTAAAGTAAGTTACTGATTGTTCTGTTATTTTCAGGAAATGGAGATATCCTCTCATATGAAGATGCTGTTTTACGAAGAGAGCAAACTGGAGTATCTGGTTTGATGATTGCAAGGTACAATGCTTAGTAGTTCCCTGGACTTGTAATATTAAGGAAATTCGTATAATAGTATTACTTAGCTTTTTTTATTACTTGATGCAGTGTGGTATAATGTGATGTTTTGTTCAAATGGTGGCATACATACCAGTAAATATTATCATGAATTTTATGATGATTGATTCTAAAACAATGAAATACTTACAAGATACTTTGGAATTACCTATAGGAGGGTATTATTCTTAGTATTATTTTGTGTTTAAGTATAATACGATTTAATTCACCATCAAGGGTGAAATGACAATATTGTAACAGATGGCAAGGAGACCCTTTGAATTCACAGGGCTTACATTTTCAACTTTGTTTTCAGAGGGGCTCTGATTAAACCATGGATATTTACAGAGATAAAAGAAAACAGGTAGGAACTTTCTTGTTAATCAGAGCTGATGTTTATAGTTAATGCTTTTATAAAATGAAAAATAACAGTTAATTTTCTTTCATAATGGCAACCATGTCTTGCAAAGATATGAAAATTTCCAGGAGTACAATCTATGTATAGCTGGTGGAGTTTGAAATTTTGATGGCTGTTTGATATGGTGCTATTTTAGAGTATGCATTTTTCTTATGAACGGTCATTTATTTTGTTTCAGACATTGGGACATATCATCCAATGAACGTTTTGACATGCTGCAGGATTTTGCCAATTTTGGCCTGGAGCACTGGGGATCTGATACAATGGTATGTTTTCCCTAAATTAATTCTAGACATGTATGTCATTAGTTGTTTTTTACATTCAGGTATATATTGTGAATATTTGGTCACAACTGGCTACACACTCAGCAACATGTGTAGATGAGGATATTTTGTTATTATTTCCTGTAGGGAGTTGAAAACACAAGGCGGTTTCTTCTTGAGTGGCTTTCATTTCAATGTCGGTAAGTCTGCTCAGGTAGTAAATAAATATGCTTACAGCCTAGAAAGTTCAACAAAAAGTTCAAACAGGAATTGACTGCATTTCAAATAATATACAGATTGCTCAAAAAGTGTAGCATTCCTCTTAACTTTACAATTTTCTTAGGTATATTCCTACAGGTCTGTTAGAATGGCTCCCGCAGCGAATCAATGAAAAACCTCCACCATATTTTGGTCGAAATGATCTGGAAACTTTGTTGTCAAGTGGAAACTCTGCTGATTGGGTTAAAATAAGGTAAAGCAGTACATGCAGAACTGTCTGACCTCTTCAATTTATTCTGGTAATTCCATTGTTTGTATATTGTTGCAGGTATATATGTTGTTTATAAATAAATGCTTCACCTGTTTACCATTAATTTAATGTGAGGTACAGTAGCCCAACGGTTGGTCAGCTGGACTCTTGGTCAAGAGGTCTGGGTGGGAAACCTGGTGGGGTTCTCATGATGAGTCTTGGGGAAAGACTCTTTACTCCTACCATGCCTCAGTCTCTCCAGCCAGGAGTGCAGAGGGACAGTGCAGTCGAACCTTGATCATCTGGACTTGATCATCTGAACCTGGATCATCTGTTGGGACTCAACAAAATAGTCCAGATAATTGAGGGTCCTGATAATCAAGAATATGAATATTAATGAGGAACAACAACTGATTAAATTACAAAAGTGACATTTAATTGTGGAACAAAACACAAATGGACTAGATGATCGTGAATAAACATTCATGACACTGTGCAGCTTGTTTATCTCGCATCTATACCATGCCAAACAAGCCAATTGCACGTGAAATCTCTCTTAGCAAGAAAGCAACTTTAAGCCCATCAGAACTCATTCAAATGTTCTTCACTAGTCACAATGTGTGCAAGCGTTACTTTTGCTTTTTGAAAGCCAAACAAACTTGCATTTACTTCACTTTTCAATGCTCTAGTTTTAAAGAATATGGCTACAGATCTTGATCATGACTAATAAATTTTCATGACAAAATTGGCTTTGGAGAAAAAGTCTGGATAATCAAGAAATCCGGATAATCAAGATCCAGATAATTGAGGTTCGATTGTACTGCATGAACTGCATTTTTTATAACTCTTTGATCCCTGAGAATAACTTGCATCTAATTTCTCTTCACAATATTGCCCCTGAATTACACATTAAGCTCACAAGAATAAAGGAAATGATTACAAATGAAAGAAGCTCTCGGCTGGGAAACAAATTCTACTTGTCTGGACCTTAGGAATTTTATAGAGAACATTATAGAGAATATGCACGCAGATGTTAGGATGTAAATGGCTTATTTTAGTTATAATAAGCAAAACCAGCTAAAAGCTGAACTCTAATTGCTTAAATTATTTTTTGTGGGCCTTCTTGTCATTTGAATTTCACAATAAAAAGTTTATGGTTCACTAAACTGTGTAATTTTGCTGGAAAAGGATACAAAATGCATGATCATCATCACATAATTTTGAAAATAACTTTTAAGATCACAAAAAGCAGTGATGTAAAGTTCTTGTAAAGCAGTACGTTTTGAAAGACCATCAAGGTTAAACTCTGATAAAGAAAGAGAAAGATTGAAATATTATTTAACAAGGATGACTGCATAGGGTAATATACACTGACATGTAGCTTTCTGGGCTGTTTTTGGAGTAGATGCCAATGGTTTTGCTGTTTTCTTCAAATTAAAGAAATGTTAAAAGTTTTTTACTACAAATTTTGGAAAGTGATCTGCTAATGTCTGATGAATTATCAGTGCAAAATGATAAGAATCTGATAATTTTTTTCTTTGCATTTTTCTTTCCAGTGAGATGCTCTTAGGTCCTGTCCCTTCTGGATTCTGCTTCATACCCAAGCACAAGTCAAACTCCTACACTGAAACCGAAGGATAGAATAATAGAACTTTTACTTTCTCAATGAAAATCAGCAACAGTAATTGTAGGTTTAAAGATAGTTTCCACAAATATTTGAGGGGTGCTTATCATCTTCTTTGTCATGCATTATAACTGCCTGGGGCGCCAGGATTAAAGATCATATCAAAATGTAGATATCTGGTTAAAATGTTCAGCTTTTTCATAAATATTTTTGAAGATCTGGTAGGCATTGATTTTCTTTTATTGTTTTCTTGGAGGAAAAGGTAATGAATGGACTGAAATGTAGTCAATGGTAAAAAAAATGAAGTGAACACATGGTGTATGGATGTCATCTTCAAAACAGTCCATTATGGTGCTTCCAAATCTTAAATATAATGTATGATGTCTATGATTGGTGGAGTGGAAAAAATGATGAAAGAGCCAAAAACCTGATAAACCCTGGACCCATTCCAATCAAATAGAAACCAAAATTTTTAAGACTTACAAAAATATCCAGACCAAACAGTGATTTATTAATGTTCTCAGCAGCTGTTCGGATCGTTTTGTAATGTGGTTGCTTTCTAAAACTGTGAGTAATGGTTCATTTTTCTCCAAAATTGTCAAAATTATGTGTGGTGTATTTTATGAGGCCATTACTGGTCAAGGAAATGATTGTAGCGTTGTACTAGCTTGAATTGTCACAGAAAGTTCCTCCATGACTCAGCGAGTTTTGTACAAGAGCAATAAAACTCGGTCTACACGCAATAATGGGGTATTGAGTGACTAAGACAATAAAAATGATTAATTGAAATAACTGTGAAAATTTGGAACTGCTTTTTAAATTCATATTTGAATTGTTGAACCATATTGTGCGCCAAATTCTTTCCTCTTCATAGAATCTGAATTTTATGGCTTTTGCATGTTTGATATTCGTGGGCAAAATGGCACCAATCCACTGTACCAACCCCCTCGATACTAATGTGTCAAATAACTAAGCAATGGATTAGTTTGCATCAGTTATTTTTGCATAAAGGGAGGAAACTTGTCAATTACTTTGAAAGATGTAGCCCAAGGCCTCTTCACGATCTGGTGACAATTCGCGTTTTTAATTTCCTTTACAACGTTGCGGAAGTTACATAAGATCTTGGAAAATGAAAGTGTGATATCTCGTCCACTCAATCACAACATATAATATTTTTTCAATAGCCCCATTCCGTGAAAAATTAAAAATATCTACCTTTTTTTTGCCATGCCATTCGATTGTAATGGCTAGTCGATGACTCTTTCACCAACAAAATCAGTCACAATGACGACTCGAATATGATTGCTTCGCTCATCGGGGCTTCACTCACGTCTATGACGTAACGGTCGCCAAGGTTACAGGGTCTCAATTCCCCGCGCGGGAATTTGTTATTGATATGGAGCCTGTTGGTAATGCTGAGTAACTTGTGATATGAAAGCTTTTCTTCTCTTCAGTTTCTAAAGATGTTGATCAATAAGTGAAGCAGTGAATTCAGCTGGTTCTTTTGTCACACAAAGGAAATGGACACAGAAAACGGAGTAAGGTACGATCGAAGCGCCAATTTGTCGACGCGATGCTGTCATCTTCGTCCGCACTGTATTTATTTTATCGGATGAAAATCAGCTATGTTAATTTGAGCTCTTTTCTTTATTTTCAGTGCCGAAAAGTTTACCGCTTCCCTGGCGAAAGCAAGCGAGAAAGCGGTGGCATATCTGGGTAGTGTAGGTAAGCGATCAAAGTTTGGGCTAAGTAGCACTTGCCCTTGCATTATTTTGACGATGTTATTGTCTGTTGTAAGTTTTGATAGTTTTGAAATTGCGTTTACCATCGTAGAATAATACCACGAACAACCTGCTTGGCGAATCGTAGAAATCTTGTCGTCTTGAGTTTATTGAAAAAACTGTCAGTCTCTTAAATGCAAGATGCGCTTTGCATCAACTTAACCCCTCGTGTGTATTTTGTAGACTTTTAGCTTCCTAGCGATACATTTGTTTAAACGTGTCGTTGTCTTGGGGGCTAAATTAAAACTGAAAGGTTTGGTTTAAACTTATGTTTCATTTTGGGTTTCGTCTGAGGATGTTTTATCCAGCTGAAAGGAAGCACAGTGAGGAATGTTTTGTTAGTTCGTTAAATACCAAATTGCATTGATTCCCGGAGCATTTCAATAAAAGATTGAATGTCGAAAAATATGACAACACATGTCAATATTGATTAGAGGAAAAAAAATTCAAATGAGCCTTCCTCCGTAGAAAATCTTTTTAATCCACTTCTTCTACGAGATTAGGGAAATGAATACACCAACTAAGTTAAGAGTTTTTGATCAAACGAACGATAGTACAAATAAAGGTGAATGTAAATTTCCGCACAAACTGATAGCCGACGGCAACAAAAGGGCGATGAGAAGTCTCAATGAAACATTTGTTTTTGATTTGAATAAATATGACAATGGAAGTATTAAGTTGTACGAAACTCGATCTCTTTGCTTTCGCAACAGTTAGTATCAAAGGCTTGTATTGCAAAGATAGCACGAATTTTAGAGTTTTTGAATTGCTCATGTGGAACTTGATATCCTTCGTTTACCATCGTCTAAAATTAGAAACATATATAGCAATTGGAAATGTTGCGTTCTCAAGAAAGCTTTTTATCGGACATACTTGTATTAAAATTGCCACCTTGCTTTTGATTTTCTTTCAAATAATTACATAAAAGCAAAGAAAAAAATGAGGTCGTTTGAGTAATTTCACAATATTAAGCCAGGTGGGATACCGGTTTATGACCGACATTGTTATTCAAATCTTTGTCACTTGAACAGCTCATTTTAATGGTTCCAAACTAACTCTTTGTTCTAAACAGAATTATTTCTGTTGTTAAGAATAGACTTGTTAAGAATGAAAAAAGAAATCTAGTTTTCAAGAAAGCTTTTAAAAGCTTACATTTGATATGGTTTCTGATGACATAAAAAAATTAGAAATGGGTGTCCTTTCAATTAAAATGTATTTATCACTGTACACTTCTACCCGTGTGGTTAAATAAATTAAATTATTTCATCTTGTGCAAATTGTACAGACAAACAAGTTAATTCGTCCGTTCATATGACTTTTTTTGGTTGATGCTAAATATAAATTTCTAACCAGTTATGGCATAATTATGTGGTGGGATAGATCAGTGTCTTTGTGTGTTCTCCTATGCACAAAAAAAGTGAAACTCCTTTAGTAATAAAAAATTCTTCTTTGTCAATCAGAGTTATGTTTGTTATCCTTTTATGTCTAATATGCATGCATCACTGGGCAGATAGATCTTGAGATTGAATATAAAACAAGACTCAAATGTTGATCAAGGATTTTTTGAGCAATCTGATGGAAAACCTTACATCTGCTAAAATAACCTTCCTCAGCCAGAAAAGGAAGAGTGTGCTATATATTCTTTCTTAATGTGTTTCTTGTTGTCTTTCTCTCATTGTGCAGCCAGCGGGCTAGTATAAAAAGGAGCGGTTTGTTAATCTCACAAAGTCTCATTTATTATACTAACTTCAACCTGGTACCATTAGCAAACAACCCACTTCAACATTTGTATGTATGATGCATTCCTTAGAAGTTAATGATTTTGTGTGCACGGAATGTAGTAATAGCCTTTACCCCAAAGGTTTCTCAACACCCTTTACAACAAAACCACTAAGTTCATATGTTTTCTGAAGGATTTCAGTGGTGCAAGTGTGTGCTACATTCCCATTGAGTTTGCTGATGATGTGTGTATACTGTCAAGCAAAGAAAAATTAAACTTCCTCTCACACATTATACAAAGTACCATACTGATTGACAATTGGTTCATACGTCAGCTGTGTGTTCATTGCCGTATATACAAATTAATATAAAGCATTTGGGAAGTTTAGAGGGCACTCTACAAACTAAAGATGCTCTTGGCTTTGTCCATTTTTAATGGATCAGCCACTACTAGTATCTAGATAGGGTGATTAGAAAGTAATTTACATTTGAAAGCAGTAAGGTTTGTATCATGACAAGGTCACCCTAAGCCTCACCCCTGTTCAAAGGCTAGGCAACCACACACAAAACCCTGAAATGGACTATTTTCTATCTTGGTACTTTTCTCAGTATAGTCACTGTTAAGTATGTTGTCTTAAGTTTTTTTGATGTAGTATAGCACATAACAAAGTTGGAGCATAAATTGCCCTAAAATGGACCTTATCACTCCTAACATTTGAGGAAAAAATTGTGACATTATGACATTCATTTTTTTGAAAAGAAAACATGACAAGCTTGCCTACAATAAAGTGATAATATTTAATAATGATATTGTTGTAGTAAGTAAATTATATAAACAAGGGTGAAAAGGAAATATAGACGCAAAAAAGACAGACACAAATCATAAGCATACATTGCATGGTTAAGCTAGTAGAAAGCAGAATTTAACAATTTTAACCCTGGTCATAAGAGTCACCAGCATCTAGTTTATTCTTACAGTATAATACTGCTTAATGATTTATAAAGATCATGCGTCTAAAAGAAAGATCACCACCGTTAGAGGCTTTGATTGTTAATCACATTTGTCTAGTTCATATCAAAGGAAATGTATAGACATTATGCGGAATGAAGAATATGGTCATTGATGTCAGGGTGTAAAGGGTTAATTTGTGGTCTGGTGTGGAGTATTGTGGGTTTGAAAATCCATAATAGGGTTACAGCACCCTAAGTTTTACTCTTCACACTAATAATAATAATAATTTACCAATTTATATAGCGCGTATTTACATGTGCTGATCAATAGCGCTTTACAATCATATGTTTAAAAGAAAACGAAAATACAATACCATGAGAATAAAATAAACTAAGTTACAAACTATAAAAAATACTTCTTAAAAAGATAGGTTTTAAGTCGAGATTTAAAACTGTTAAGTGATGTTGCTTGACGAAGCTCCACAGGTAGCTCATTCCAGAGTTTCGGAGCTGCTGCTGAGAATGATCTTGCTCCCAATGTTGTAAGCATCTTTCCCTTGGGATGGTCCAATAAGAGCTTACCAGTAGACCTAAGATTATATAATGAATTAGATTTTATACTAATAAGATCACTAAGATAAGTTGGCGCTAAGTCATAAATACATTTAAAATCTTATAGTCAATACGCAAAGAAACTGGTAGCCAGTGCAGCTCATAAAGCGCCGGTGAAATGTGAGAAAACTTTCCAAAGCCAAGAATAAGTCTTGCTGCTGTAATTCCCATATGTGCAAATGTGCAAATGTGCATATGTGCAAATTCTCCATACTGTTCTGTATACATTCCTCTAAAGCACTGAAAAGGAGAATTTTAACAGGTAACAATTAAGAGCTTCTTTAGTTGGTGATCAAACCCTTTATTCTTGTGATTAATGTGAGATTGGAAGGTGTTAATTACTGTAGGAGAAATTAGAAGCCAGTCACTCTTAGAGGTCAATCAAAGGGTTAATCAGTTTTTCTCAACTGAACCTTTATTTTTCTTCACACAGATGATGAGATATGGGAGTCATTGTTGTTTTCTGACTCACTGGTGACTACATCTCAGACTGGCAGAGTAAGTCCATCTTTGTAATATTTTCTATGTTGAATTATCCAAACTAAAACCAATCTACTTCACTGCTAGTGTTAATTCCCATCCTTGTTTTAACTTTGATTTGTCATTCCCTGGTGAAGATCTTTCAAGGATCTTTAAGGATCCTACAAGATCTTCTTGAGGACCTTTGAGGATCCTCTTAAGGATCATCATGAGGATCTTTGGAAAATCTTTGAAGATCTTTAAAATTCTTGTTAAGATCTTCATTTTCTTGCCAAGATCTTCAAGGATCTTTGTTTTCTAGCCAAGATCTTCAAGGATCTTCAAAGTTCTTGTCAAGATCTTCAAGGATCTTTTATTTTCTTGCCAAGATCCTTGAGGATCTTGTACAGATCTTTAAAGATCTTGACAAGATCTTTGAAGATTCTTTAAAAATATTTGAAAATTCTTTGAGGATCTTCCAAATTCTTGTTACTATAGATCTTCGAGGATCTCTATTTTCTTGCAAGGATCTTCGAGGATCTTTTACTTTTCTGCTAAGATCCTGAACAATCTTGTCATCAATCTTCAGAGATCTTGTTGAAAATTTTGAAGATTCTTAAAGATCTTGGCAAGAAATTGAAAGATCTTTGAAGATCTTGGCAACAAAAAGAAATATCCTTGAAGATTTTGACATGCAAATTAAAGATCTTGGCAAGAGATTTGAAGATCCTTAAAGATCTTGACAAGAATGTCAATGATCCTTGAAGATCCTGGCAAGGAAATGGAAGATTATTGAAGATCTTGGCAAGAATGTTATAGAACCTTCAAAATTTTGACAACAAAATAGGCATACTTAATGATAGGTTTATAGAGTGAAGCATGAACTTAACCACCAAAGATGTTAACTATTGAAGAATGGATCTAGATGTCTGATTAATGCTCACTGGTGTAAACAACAAGGTGACAATGGGTTAAATGGCTTCTAGTGATATTTACCTTTCTTCTAAACTGACTGATATAATTACTCTGGTTTTATTTTACAACACTCAAAGATCTCTTTTCTCCTTCTACAAAGGTTAATTGCTTTTGTCTGTATAATGTTTTGTTATGATAAAAAAAACAAACAGGTTTTTTCTTTTATTTAAGATGCAAGATAAGAACTGCAAAGAACAAAAGTGGACAGTCTTTACTCAATTGTTTCAATAAAGTTGATATAGCTCTGCAAGTTTTGAAGACCATCCATGGACTGAAGTAGAGCAACACCAACACAGACAAATTAGACTTTAAAACATCAGTGTATCTTTGTTTAGAATGCATGATGTTCTTAATGATAGTTTTAAGTAGACCCTGGCTAGTGGAAACAAAATAGCAGTAATTTTATTTACATGTACAGGTAGTTCCCAATGATATTTGAGGCAGCTTTTCTTCACTCTAGGAAATAGGTGAAATGACAATAACTGTGGAAAACACTATGTGGCGAGGAGAGCCTTGTTATCTTGTTCATGCTAACAGCCATGGGTCTATAGATCAAGTACCTATTGGGACATCAGTAACAGGTTAGCTATTAATCACATGTTGGCCCTTTGAACACTAAAGGCCTATTTACACGGTACGACTTTGTCGCATGCGATAAGCTTACGACAGGCCTACGACATGACTTAGGACAATTTACACGGGCAAGACATTTTCACCTACGACATGCCAAAATTGCGTGCAATTCCACTCGTTTTGGCCGCGGTCATTGTTTCAATAATTTGCAAGAGAAGGAAAAGAACCTCTTCCTCGCTCCACAGTGATATCATATTCTCTGTTTCCTCATCTGAGAATGTATTTTTTGCTTTGGAAGCAGTCTTCAACTTTCTGGAGGCGACTTCCTCCACCATTTTGACACAAGAAAATTTCACCTTCCTTCCCTACTCAGTAGAAATTTTTCACAAAATACATCATTTTCTATCAATTTCGGCTACGATTGTCGCAGCGTTTTAAAACATGTTTTAAAATCCTACGACATTTTTCATGACGTGCACGACAGTCGTAAGTGAGTGGTAGGTTTGATTTACACGATACAATTCGTGTCGTAGGCCTGTCGTAAGCTTGTCGCATGTGACAAAGTCGTACCATGTAAATAGGCCTTAAGAGTGACTAGCATCTAATTGCAGCTCCTTACAATTTCACCCTCGAATCATACATTAAGGTCACAGGAATGAAGGTAATGATCACCAACGAGAAGAAGCTCTTGATTGTTAAACAAATTTTCCTTGCTAGCATCTTAGGAAATATAGAGAACAGTATGGAGAATATGCATACTGATGTTAGGGTGGGAAGGGTTAATGGATGGTTGAAAAGGTGATCTTCATGTTCATGTGATATTTACTTTTGTACTGACTCTACAATTTATGGAAACAATTCTACTACATTATAACTGTAACTGTTTTGTTTTTGTTGCAGCTTATGTTGGAAGATCTCTTCAGACATTTGAACAAACCCATTATGAATATGTCAAGGTAAGGACTTCATAAAACTGTGTTCATTATTATTACACAGATGAATTTCTGATAAACATATGAGGCAAATTTAGTGTACAATGGAGTTTTCACTTGGAGATTTTAAACCCATGTGGGCAAGTGGTTTATTTGAAAATAACTACCCCTTTTTCTGCAATGACCGCAAAATGCTTCCTTGTCTTAAATTATATTTTGAACAGAGATTCTTATCATATGGGAAGTACAGTTAAAAAATTGGGGAATATTTTGATCCGACATCTTGGTAATAATAAACTTTGCTTAAATATAAGGAAAGCAATTTAAAGAGCAGTTTGTCAATATGCATCAGTCACTTCACACTGCTGAGGAGAGACTGATCAAGAAACTGTTGATCAAATGTAGAGTACTTTTCAGGAGACTTTGATATGTTTGTAGATACCGGATAACCCTCTGGATAAAAAGACTCTTATTGTACTGGATGAGGATGGGACATACTCTGTAAAGAAGACTGAATCACAAGGAGATGTAAGTCGTCTTTTGAAGTATGACAATAAATAGATAAATGAATAGGTGAAGTAAGATAAAAGGAAAAAAAAAGGACATCTTTATCCAAGGTCAGAAAGTCAAAGGAGGATAGAGAGAGAAATTTTTAGTCCTCCACTGTAAGTGGGGTGGAATAAGTCCAAAATTCAAAAATAGATCAGTTGTGTGTTGGTTACCCTCCTTTTCACTGTGTTTGGCATGCTAGCCTGTTACTCAAAGTTTGTGGGGCACCTTAAGCAATTTCTCCTTGTTCACTATGGCCTTTTTTGATACCTTTGGATTTTCTTGTATGACACTTGATCAAAATACATCTAGCATTTTAAAGTTCTTGGTACATGTAACTGATACGCCATGTACCTCAACAGAGGCTCTGAAGAATCTAGAAATTGAGTTTGTGGCCTCATGATATTTTTCTTTTTGCAATTGAGTTTTGTGAAAACATACTTGGGTCAACTCACACATCTTACTTTGTTAAAGACAAATTATTCAATCCGTGCCAAAAATTTTTTTTACCTGTGTTTTCTGGCTTGCTTTGATAATTTTCATTTTTTGTAGGAAATGCAGAGAACTGACAAATATTTCAAAAAAGAATTGTTCCAGGGTTTTATATCTGAAGGTCAGTTTCTATTTTCATATGGCGTTTTCATTCATTCTTGTATTTGTTTCCTCTTTCATTCACGTGACCATTGTCTCTTGACATGCATTATTTACTTATCTGTATTTTTTTGCAGGGTCTAATCTGTTGCTACAGAGAATCATGGTAAAAAGAGGAGTTCCCGAGGACATGACATTTGTTGCATTTGACTCAACAACTAGTCTGTGTACTTCATCTTATGTACGAATCTGCATCGCGTTGAGTTTTTATATTGTTGTGTTTTTGTTTTGGGAGAAGAAATTTAGCATTTTGCTTTTACTCCCTCCCAGAAAATGCTTGGAAAGTCAGAGAGGAGAATTGGTTTGCAACAAGTTCATGCGGTAGGACTGAATCGTACGATTCATTCAGTTGAGGAGTCGCCTACCACTTGGGAATCGTACTTCTTGTCGACAGGGTGAGTTTTAGTGTAACATTTTTCCTTTGTTTTAATCAGATTTGTGGAGGCATAGCTTAGTGGTTTAAGGTGCTGAGTGTGAAATCTTAAGCTTCCAGGTTCAATTCCCTTATTCTGACCGGAAATTCAATTTGTTTCTCTGTAGTCTCGTGTTCAGCTTCTCCACTGTGGTTTGTTATCAGCCAACTAGGTTGATTTGCCTCCACTAATTTACATTTTCGATAAATTTTTCTCCCATAACTCCAAAAGGCCAGATGTATCTTAGACTCAAAGACACTTTTGGAAAACAATGGAGACTGTGAAACTCATGAAATTTAAGTTGACTGAAAGTTTTGAAAGGCGAGTGTGTTTAGAGAACTCTTTCTTGTAGGCATCTCGCAAGTCGAACACAGCTGGGTTCTGGGGTGACCATGACCTTATCAAGAATTCCAGAGGAACATCAGATTACAAGTGAGTGTACATGAAACAAGATTATTCGTCTCGTTATTCCAAGTTGTGACTAGCTATTTCGAGTATTTTTTTGTTTTTTTTTTTTTTTTTTTTTTTTTTTTCAGAATGTTGTATTTTTTACAAATAGAGATGGCGTCAAGAAGTTGTTAAACTGGAAGTAACCCCTGAGATCTATTGCGATCGCTGTTCACAGATTATTTAGTCGTAATATTTTTGCAAATTTTTTTAGATACAGACTTATCAGAAGAGACAGCAGAAGTTAAACCACTCAAATGGGAAGAAGATATGCAACTATTTTCGCGTTTTTTAGACCGAAAGGTAGGGGTAACTATTTTAGTCCGTTTGTATGTACCTTTAAGTTGTGGTGAGAGCGTAAACGACCTACGACATATGAAGGAGACACACAGTGTTAGCTCTGCTAAGTTTTGACTCTTTGACTCTCAGCATCTCATAAGTAATTCTCCATTTTGTGTGCAGCATATCAGTCTTATAAAGTTAGGTCTGAACATTTTTGCAGAATCATAATGTACATCTGTAAAAACAGGCTTCAGGACTTTTAGAACTGATTTTTACACCTCTCGTGTGTTTTCAGGCGGAGTTGGCTGACGATCACGCAACCTACATGAGAAGGCATCCAGAGCTGCGGGCTCTCCTTGCCGACTTTCTGCAATTCTTACTGCTTCGAAAACCTGATGACGTCACCGGCTTCGCCTCTGAGTTTTTTGGCGCGTTTTCTACAGCCGCGCCCTCTGTACCTTCATTCGCCCGCTCTTCTCCAGGTCCTGCGCGACCTTCCTCTATGCCTTGAGGACTTTGAGATACTTGGCCTCATGCAGTCCTTCCTCACATCCCCTTCAGACAATCAGCTTCAGTCAATATTGTACATGATACGAAAAGATAATTCATATAGTTTAAGTTACAATGTTTTCCTTACCTCATGAAATTTTTATTAGTGTGTTCTCGGTGGTGATTTTAGCAGTTGTTCAGCTCAAATATAGGTGAGAAGCGTTAAGTAGTCATTTGTCTCTAATTAAAGGATTCATGGCTCACCAAGTTAGTTTATTCTTGTTTATTTCGAAAGATAAATCTTTTCAAAAGACGGTGACTGAACAATGTACCCTTTGAGCTTAAAGCTTGCCACATTGTACTTTCCCTCACAGTAGTGTTCCGTAACTCATTTTTGTTCTTCATTTCATGCCTCCACTCAAAATGTGGAAAATAAGAAAAAAGGGCGTGAGGGCATCCTCTGCGTACTAAGCCCCCATCCAGTCCTCAGCGATTTCCTTTGAAAACGCGCACTTTTTGATACATGATAAAGTGGCGGCAAATACTATTCCTTAATTTCCACCGGAGATTCGTGAACTTGGGAAAAAGTGAAGGAAATGTTAACAGAACTCAATCGTATCATATTTGGTAACGATAACTGTCTCAGAGGCAGTTGTTGCTCATCCCCAGGGACAATCGTACTCACGAACCGTTTCTTCTGATCACATGTACAAAAGAAGAGAAGAGTCTGGGACGGTGTGTTGTGATGTGGCATCCTTGATGTACAAAAGATCTGTGAGCACAAAATCTAGGAGCTCCCGTAAGCTCTAAGAAAAGTGCCCTCGCTGACCACATGTCTGAAACCTTGAATCATCACATGATTCCTATCTGCTTGCTAAGTGCATAATGCGCGGAGATTTAATTTAATCTCCTTTCATTGTTTCAAATCAAGCTAGAAAACAAAATCTTTTGACGAAATTGTATTGAAATAAACTAAACACTTGTCTCAATTTGAGGATCGTGTTTTCTCGCGAGTAAAAAGCGTATGGACTTTCTGTAAGATGGCAGTCTCCACGCGAAAATGAATGCATCGGTAGCAGCCTTTACGAAAAGGAATAGATCAGTTATTCTTAACGAAATATTCAAAACGACTTCCTCTTTCTGGTTCCGGTATTGTTTGTACAAGAAAACGTAAAATACACCAATGTGTGGAAAAGCCGAAAAGAGCAATATTGCAGCGAGGTAAAACGTCATCAGAACAAAATTTCTGTCGTAATTGCGGCTGCGAGTTTGTAGAAGTCTTTTTCCACTAGTTTTTTGCGGAGATGCGGTATTGCTGTGAAGATGAAATAATAAACTGGTCGTTCGAGTGATTTTGTGAACCTGCAAGTGTCCTTTAAAAGCCCTATATATTAAAATCTGAAGAACAGCGAGTATCACTGAGATAACTGTGGAATGCAGTGTCAAATTCAGTTTGAAAAACAAGATTTGATCCATACCTAAAACAGGTAAGAGGCTGAATACGGTGAAGTACAACCATGTTGCCATAACGGATGAGAGTACAAATCTCTTTCTGATCCAAATCTTGTATTTGTAAGGATATTCTATGGCAATAAACTGTACAAAGGACAGCATCAGGACCATCACGAAGGAAGCATTCAGCGAGGCTGTCGAAATGATTGAGCTGATTACAAAAAGCGTGTGTGAAATGACTTGAAATTTATCACCGGTTGTAAAGTAGCGTACAAAAAAATATAAGGCGAAAAACGGCTCAACCAGCAGGCCACACAAAAGGTCTGCTATCGAAAGACCAAGAACAAAATAACTTGTCGGTTTCTTGAAATAGTTAAGAGGATCTTTGATAATTGTGGTGATTAACAAAATGTTTGTGGCCACTGTTATGGGACTCAGAAATGCAAGCGTGCATGCAGAAGCCAACTCAATCCGGGAGTATGCCCCATTTTGGATAGAAGAGGAACTCCAGTTTGTACTCAGGTTTGAAGACTGTTCACTCATTGTAAACACACACAGACTTGTCTTCGCGTCAGGTACTCTAAGCATCCAGTGTCTCGTGGCGCGGATGAGTGTTATAATTATTTTGTGAAACTCCTGTTTTTGCCCCTTTTTTTTCAATTCAGCGATTGTGAACTTGTTTTTTACGCCGCGTGGTGAAACAAGTTGGATAGTTCATCAAACTGCTTGTTTTAATCATCCGGTTTCGTGTACGTTCCCACAACACTTCAATCCCAAGCTGATGAAAAACCAACAATCCATTACCGCCGTATGTTAATCATCTCTTTGCTTGCAATATAGATTAATGTTGGACCAGCTTTATAAGGGAAATTGCAAAATGCGTTCCCGAAAAAAATTCAGATGCTGAAGAGCGAATTCATAAATTTACTCACAGCGAGAAAACCAAAAACATGCACTCACGTCTAGCCACTAAATTCAAACATCGTTTACCTTGTAACAAGTTTTTGTGTAAATAACTCGAGAAAGACAAGGAAAAAGAATAAACGAATATTTTATTTCCAACCCAATCACACCTACCTCAGAGCAAGTCAATTACATTAATTCTCGGGTTTTTTCTTGATGAATTCTTTTTGATCGTTCTCCCGAGGCAAACCAAGTTTATTATCAATAAGACAACTTCAACCAAAACGGGGAAAAATCTGGCCTAGTACCATTATTTTACAGCCACAGGCCATCAGTAGCTTTTCAAGTTATTGATCTTATTCCCGGAGCGCATTTGAAATATATTGGATTTTCTGCCTCTTAAGGTGGGACTTAACCTAAAATTTGACTACAAAATGCAATTTTTGTTTTTGGAGAAATCTGAAACTTCAGGCATAGAAGAAAGCCATGACATGAGTTTTTAAGACTAATTTGCTTTATTTTGTTGCCTACGATAAGTTTTCTGCAAGCTAGTAAAAAAAAAATATTTTTTGGTTACCATGGCAACGCAACGTAGCATCTTTCAGTCTTGCTCCAATTTGAAGCCCGAAAGTCCATCCAATTCCTAGAATTTCCTCAGTATTTTCAAGAGGAAGCTATATGACCCCCTTACATGAAGTATAGCTAGTCGGAGGTGGCGTGGGATTGAAAGCTGGCGTGTTTTCAACTGTGGAGATACTGTGAGAGCGAGATTCGAGTTTTATATCAGCGAAGTTTTTTGTCTAAAATGCCAGGAGGGAAGAAGAATACTGTATATAGAAGAAAGCGGAAAGGAAAGCCTTTTACTGGAGTGCAGAGATACGCAAGGAAAGCGAAGAAAATGCCGCGTGCGGATAGAGAAGTCACAAACTCAGCATCGAGTTCCTCGTGTGATGAGGCTCTGTCAGATGCCGAAAGTGCTTCCATCAGTGCTTCGAGACTCAAAATGAGACCAGAAGATTCACCAGATAGTTCATCAAAGATTTCTGATGTAAATGATTTTCAGGGAGAGGGATACAGACTTGTAGACCTCAAGAAATTATATGCCACGTTGTCTGAAGCACATGTGTGCGAGGAAGGTGAGAAAACATAAGTGAACATCTGTTTTACTTTTAACCTTTTCTTTACTGTTCATGTCTCGTAGCATATGCTAGTAACAGTGTGCAGTTTCCATTTTTTTCTCTAAGAATGTTTTTTTACTTCTCTTCAGTACTATCTTTATTGTTTTCATTTATTAAAAATTACAGTTGTAACTGTCTGTTGTGTGGTATGTGGTGAATAAATTTTGTGACTCATATACATGTATGAGAATGCACAAAATAAATGTGCATGAAATGTAAATGAATGCACCCAAAATCGCAATGAATGCATCAACGGACTGGTGTGGGCACGCTGCCCAAAACACAAGCATCATGGTGCCAAGGTGATTAGATGTGCAGTTGCTTCTACTGTGTGCCATTTTCATAGTGGAGCTGCCAGCAGAGCAAGAATAATGCAGAGACTGGTAATTCCAGCAGGGGAGTACACTCAGAAGGCCTCAGAAGAAAAGGACAAGAGGCGGTTGAGAAAATCGGACCTTCAGACCTCTGCTAAAGAAAAGAAGCGCCGGCAAGGAGAGCAAATGAGGCGCACACGCAGAGAAGATGCCCTACGGGAGGCTGATGGTGATACCTATGAACCTGGAGGCTTCTAAGTGACTGAAAGAAACATTTGCTATGATATTGGATAGTTCATAGCCATGCAAATTTGTGCAGACAATCTTCGTTTTAGCTTTTTAACTTTAATCGCACTTTTCTCAAAATGTGCATTTTATGATTCTAGAAAACATATCTCATAGAGGATTTAACCAATTGACTTGAAATTTTCAATGTTTATTGCTTTCAAAGAGTGTCTGGGAATGAGCAAAGGGTTTTTCTGTAGCTTTACTTTGTCAAAAGTTACAAAAGAAAATTGTGGTGGAAATTCACCCCAAAAATTTTGCTTTACTTTAACTGGAGGCTGGAACCAAAGTTTTTTTATATTTTTAAAACTCTATGCTCATCCCCATGATTAGCCTATATACTATATAGTTATAAAAACAAATCAGAGCTAGCTGCATTCCATATCAAGATTTCTTTTCTAGAGTACATGTGGGTTGTGCACAGTATGGGGTAACAATATTTTGCTGGTATCAGGTTACAAATAAACTGTGTGCAGAAATAATTGAAAAAACTGAAATCTGTGATTCATTAGCTTTTCAGTGATATATGGTTTTATATGGTTTAACTAAAAACTGTGGATGTGACAAGTCATTGAAAAAAGGGGTCTTTTTTAGGTTAAGTCCCACCTTAATAGAGCAATCGTAGACTTCGAATTAACAAAGAAAAGGTGAAAAAGTGAATTAATGAGCTCTAAAGTGTGACAATAGATTCTTATTTCGATTCTTATTTTCAAGGAATACAGACAGCTGAATCAAAATTACAGGTTACCGGAACGATGGAAATAATTAAAAGAAAGACAAGTACAAGACACTTTATTAGAAACGTTTGCTTCCTTTTAGCGAATCGTTTTAAATTTTTACAATCATATGTGCTGAGATTAGGTGAATCGAAAAGCTGTCCAATTTCGTTGGCAAAGTTATAATTCCCAACGCAAATAATTATAATAACAAAGGCCTTTTGTTTTAACTTAATAACAAGGGGAGCAAAAGAGGTTGGAATGCCGGTACAAAAAGAGATTTTAAAAATTACGTTGTAATTGAGTATATTTTTTTCTGTCGGGAAATCACCAAGGACGGAAGAATATTACAATGTTTTTCGTCAAGTATTTATTTTGTCTAAAATTTTTTGTTTCTTTAAATTGAAAGGGAAGGTAATTGTCACAGGGGTTTAACATGAAACCGGACACAATTTTCAGCAGAAACCTGCTAACGTTTTAATCAGTGTTTGTCTCCTTTCAATTTTTAAAATTGAAATCGAAAGATGATGGCAGATGCAGCTGCAGTTTGGCATTTTTTTTGATAGCTTTGTTTTTCGAAAGTAATCAGTCGATGCGTTTCGTTTCAGTAATGTTGCATCATGGTTGGAGGGATTCTTCTGTAACCAAACTGCATATTTTGCCGGAAGGTTTTCCCAATTTTTCATCGCTTACCTCTGGCTAATAAACGACTGCTCATTTCCATTACAATTATGCATGAAAAAACTAAAGTAACATGGAAGATCAAAACATTATTTCCAAGCCCGAAAAACCAGTGATTTTTTAACAGTTTATACAACAACTGTTCTGAAAAAATTTTGCCGCCAGCTAAATATATCAAGTTATGAAGCGTTTGAGGTGGGAAGTTCTTTTGCTTCCAAGTAATAAAGACCTTTTGCTCTCTTAGTTGTTACTTAACATCCAGTGAGGAATTTTGTTTAATAAAGACGACTTTCTTTTCCATCACAAGCCGAGACGAAATCAAGAGGAATCTTGATTAAGATTTCAAACTACTTCCTTTAGCATTATCAGTCGGATGGTCAACCGCTGACCTGTACAGTTCTAGTGACGATTCCGTAACGGAAACTCCTGTCAAAAATTCGTCGTATGGAAGCCCTTCCCCACCCTCCCGTCCCCCCGCTATTAAATAGGTCTCAAACCGTAGGCCAGAACCATTTTGGTCGTCGGTTGTAACCACCAGAGGACTGTGTCAAGTGTAGCCTACTTGTAGCCGTACCCTCCCCCCCATGGTGACACGTTTCACCTTAAAGGGGGAAGGGTACGGCTACACGTAGACTATGTCAGCCAGGGATTGTATTTCCTATTTTCGCTTGTACTATCGATACCCAAAACATTTTTCGAGAAAATTGTTCGCTACTTTATGAGCTGAGCACAAAATAAATTTGGGTTAATGACTGTGGGGAATCCAACCTCACAACAACATTTAATTTTGTCTTGGTCTGTTCTGCAAGCTGAGCAGAAAACATATTTGGGTCAACCTCCCAAAGATTTCAAACTCTAGATCTCGCAATTTTGCCATCAAATATTCAAACAGCTGAGCGAAAAAAATTGTTTAGATCGATCTTCTTGAGAATTCAGACCTTATACTTTGACTTTTGGTGTGAAGTACTCTGCCAGCTGAGCAGAGAGAAGTTTTCTTAATCGACTTACGCGAGGATTCCAACCTAAGATCTTCCGACTTAAAAGCCAGATGCCTTACCAGCTGACGGCTACACAGACACTTCCTGTTAATGTCCTTGTTCCATAACAAAGGGGAGAACAAGACACGAAAACGGTTATCATAATAGTAAAATGTTTATTTGAATCTCCAACCAACTTCTAACGAAAGAATTCAAGAGAATTCAAAGATAAAAAAAGCTTCATTCTTTCATCCTACTATTGACTGTTCCTTCATCTTAAATGCTTCTTTTCAGTGAATGGAGAGGTTGGGTAAAATCAGTTCTTCACCTTAGGAACCAGTATCACGGGCACGTGCGCATGATGTATGATGTAGTCACTGACACTTCCTAATATGGTGCGACGGATTGTGCCCATTCCTCGGCTGCCAACCACTATAAAGGCAGCACCTTCCTTTTGAGCAGTTTTACAAACATGGTCTCCCGGATGTCCGCTTTGGATGATGATTTTGGCAGAAACCTAGAGGATATAAAATCAACATAACCATGGTATGAGGTGTTTTAACCTAAAAATTTTGGCAAAGTATAGCTTTTTATTGCAATTGTTTTTTAGAAATAATAAGCTTTTTGCATTTCTTAAAATAATCAACGGACGACATGTGACCAGGAAAATATCCGGGAAAACACGTAACCCAGGGTCTAACACTCTAGAACGTATAACTACTGAAAAGCGCAAGAAAACTTTAGTCAAGGAAAAGGGAAGGAAAACACCCGGTCAGTGCCTAGCATGGCTTAGCACGGGAAACATACAACTTGTTGACAGGCGGAGGAAGACTCGTAACTAATAAAAAGCGCGGGAAAACGGGTGAAGAAATTCCATCTTTTGACTCGTAATCACTGACAAGCGTTGAATAACGTGCAGCCAGTGAAGAGCACAGAAGACTGGTGAACGATAAAAGCGCTGGAAAACTATTAACTAGATACAAACACAACACGTTACCAGCTTTAAGCGCGAGAAACTCTTGGCCATTACTAGTGTCTAGAGAGTTAAAAAACGCAATCATACGCGGACTGATTCCTCCATGCGGGATGTTTCCTCGAAACGAAATATCCCTCTTGTATCAGTCCACAGGAAATATTCGGTTAATTTTTAGCGGCTTTGCTACTGATGATAGGGCGCTTATGCATATACTTTTTTTGATACACGTGTGGAGGCAGCAATTCAATTGAAGAAATGTAAAATGGTTTCCGTGTTTACATAGCCTGATGTAAACACGCGGGAGGTTGGGAGAACACGAGATAAGCGTAGGAAACCACGACGCGAAGCGGAGTGGTTTCCAGCTTATCGAGTAACTATGTAAACATGGAAACCATTTTACATTTCTTTTATAAAATAACTAATGAATGAGGAACGAAAACTGTGTCTACGCACGCTCATGTAAAATGGTTTTATGGCCAATCAGAGCGCGCGTACTATTTGAATTATTTTATAAAGTTCTTTTGCGCATACTACAAATTTTTCTGAATGAAGCGTTTAGTTTAAAACGCGAAAATCAAGGGCTTTCAAAACATGGCAGACGAACTGCATTGTCAGTATACAATGTATATACATTGTACTTAAGTATAAAAAAAGTGCACGCTGTTCTGAGTGATGCCAACTAAATACCTTCATTGCTTCACACTTGGTTTTAAAATTTTCTTCCAAGTCTTTGATGTACTGTTCGTGTTTTAGGACTTCCTTCTTCCATTCCTCTGTAGCAATAGCATCTAGGTTTGACAAAGGAACGTGGGGAGGTAAGGAAAACGTATGGCTAATACCGTGATACAATCTACAAAACCATAGCTTCCATTAGCCGTGGATGCACACGCGCGCCGTATGTCAATTAGGCACATGTATATCTTTAAAATTTAAGTCTGATTTTTCACATTGAGCAAGGCATACTAAGAAAAACCCTTTTGAGGAAGATAGCAAAAGTATTTGAAGTGAAAGTTTTTAAATAAATGCAACTTAACATGTGGTTCTCACCATGATGAATGCGCACAAAAAATTACTTAAATAGTAATAATAATAATAATAATAATAATAATAATAACAATATAATCATAAAAATGACAATTTCCTCCATTGCACTTGGTTTAAAAAAACCTATTTTCCACTAATTCACTTACCAAGTTGTTATTGAACAGTTCAATAAGCCAATCACATTCAAAGTTGTAGTTTAACTCAACAAAAAATGGTAGATTTTGAAAATTTGTCGTAAATTTTTTGAAAATATTTGGTAAATTTTGAGCACAATTTTTGGAAATTTTTATTTGTAAATTGTAATTTTTAAGATTTATTGGTAATAGGACTTTGTGGAGTCCAATACTGTAATCATACTCGTGATAAACAAATTAGACTCCTGTGTGTGGGGTCATCCAATTTTGTTATCACTCATGATTGCAGACTAAACTGGACTTCACTCAGTCCTAATACCATTACCATTACTACTACTACTCCTACTTCTACTTCTACTGCTACTGCTACTTCTACTTCTACTTCTACTTCTACTACTACTTCTACTTCTACTTCTACTTCTACTTCTACTCCTACTTCTACTTCTACTTCTACTTCTACTTCTACTTCTACTTCTACTTCTACTTCTACTTCTACTTCTACTTCTACTTCTACTTCTACTGCTACTGCTACTGCTACTGCTACTGCTACTGCTACTGCTACTGCTACTGCTACTGCTACTGCTACTGCTACTGCTACTGCTACTGCTACTGCTACTGCTACTGCTACTGCTACTGCTACTGCTACTACTACCACTACTAATAATAATAATTAAAATAACAATAAAGATAAATATGGTAACTATAACAATAATAAAGCCTTCAATGGATGGCTGGAGGGACAGTTAAGATAGAAAAATGAGGAATAAATCAATAACAGCAATGAAAATGCCTGAAAAATATGTCTTAACAACAGTAGTACCTAACAGCTATGTGGATAGCATTTGCTCTGTTTAACTGTGAAGGCCTCGATCATTGTTTAAAATCTTGGTATATTTTTAGCCATATGTACAGTGGTTTATAGAGAATATGATTGGAAGATGACCTCAGATATTTGAAAGATCTACTTACGAGGCAAGGCAGGTGGGTGTAGTTCATGAGAGTGGACCACAACCAAGCGATCTCCATTGCGGTATATTTGATCTTTATACCCTGCAAACAGAAAACATAATGGAAAATAACGAGAAAAAAAATGCTACACATGACTTTGTCTTCAAAATAATTCTGTTTCAAAGTTTGGGTCATCAATAATGGCTGTGTAAAAATATACAGCTCAGTAAATCAAAGATACTGGTACCCATTAGATGAAGGAAGAAGAGGATATCTCAATTAAAAGAGAACTTGGAAAAACTAAATTTGTTGGTTTTAATACTCCCACAATTATCATGACCACTTTCAAATTTCCAAAAGTAAGATTTCTAATGAAGAAAGCAGGGTGTATTAATTTTGTCTATTAAGGACACCAACCAAATTCCCTGACTCCCACTTATCTATAGATACATCATCTCTACAGAGACAATTTTGAGGAGGATTTAAAAATATTTTTTCATCGACGTATACTAATTGGATTTCATATGATTGCCTCTAATGTATAATTATTAGATACAAAAAAAATCCCACCAGTTCTTAAAAAGATATACCTGCTCCAAAACTAATCTTAAATCTCTGTCCATTGTCAAATAAAACCCTTCCCCAATCCTGTGCCTTAAACACTGAACCACACTTCACTAACAGAGCCAAAGCCCATTAGCTGAGTTGTAGCATAGCTGGCGTTCAAGCATGAAATTTAGCCTAAAGACATGATGTCTGTCAAGAAAGATCTTTAGGAGAAAGGTGACAGAAGTGACCAAAACTACCCTCCCCACCCCAACGCTTTGCACACACAGCTGCCATCAAACCACTAGAAATACCAAGTCTCTGCTGGGGTGGGTCTGTCAATGTTCAAGTCTTGATGTTAGGCCCCTGATTTGCAAGCTTCCAGGATTAAATCCAATAAGAAATAAAATGTTTTTAAAATTTCCGAGAATAAGCATCAATTCCTTCCTCCATAGCACTCATTGGACAGAATTTAACCCTTTAACTCACATGAGTGACCAGGAAAGAATTTCTCCTTACAATATCAATACAGTATCAACCAGATAAATGATACGAATAAAGAAAAATATCAATTTGGGATAATTAGTTGATCCGATACTAAATTCTTTGAACTAACATTACAAGAATTGTATGGTTGACAGTGAGGAGAATTACAAATTTGATCTGGGAAGTTTATGAGATTGTCAAGGGTGGGGTAATAAAGGTTGGGAAGGGTATTTTTGTCACGTTGCACTACATGTAAAGTGTACATCGTTTCATAACAACCTCAACGGACGATTACAAGCCGTAAATATGTTGCTAAAATCGTTTAGAGACAGTAATGACACGCAAAATGATTCTCCATAAATACACTGACGAATACCAGTTTTATTCAAGCGTGACTATGTTTTCCGTAATAATCTGGGCTGGAGCGACGCGTGATAAGGGACACGCAAATTAAATGGACTCGCTAGATGACAAATTTTTTCCATGACTCTAGATCATCTTAATTTACCTTAAGATCTGTTGATTTTGCGAGCTCTATTTATGTGGTCTAGTCAAAATATAGCGTTAACAGCTGTTTGTAAACAGTATTGATCACACGCGTCCAGGGTTATGGAATAAAACTGACGTTCGCTTATTACCAATGTAGATAATACAATAGAGAATCTTTCGATCCAAACAGTAATTTTTTACCGTCCTATTTGCACTATTCGAAAACAATCAGTCCAAAGAGGCGTTACCAATACAAATCCTTTGAAAGCGAACTACCTCTTAAAATCTCCCGATATTTCAGGTGAATACGATATTATTGTTCAGTGTACCTGAGCAACTGTATCTAATCAATGTAGTACGGGAACTTACAGTTAAACGCTTTCTCGCTATGCTCGCTTCCATCTACTGCTATGCACACAACTCTTGCTTCAGAACTCGCCATGTTGTTACCGTTGATAGTTGAACGACGAATGATATTCACTGAAATCAGGTGTATTTACTCTTTGCGCCTTACCAGCCAATGTTCGCTCAAATGCATGACGCGTGACAGCGCGCGTGAGAACTTGCATGTCTAGGACGGGCATTTTATTTAAGGGAGAGGAGGGTTAGATAATTGCTGTGTTCTAAATTTTTCATCCCTTCAGATTTCTTAGATTTTTTTATCATAAGCCTAAGGTTTAAAACTATTTGATTTTAACTCATTTTTCTCAGAGTAATAAAGGATGTATCTTTAATTGAAACCGCGGTGCAGACAAAAGCAAAACAATAGAGCCAATTTAATTTTGAAGAACGCGTTTTAATTTACTGTACAAATCTTTTACTGAACCACACGTATTCTACTGAATATCTGATAAGAGTCTACACATTTTAATCACAGTTCCTTGACTAACACTTCTTGAAACATATGTTAAGACCTCTTGTACGACAAAGGACTAGCTTAAAATTGTTAGCTGGGATCATAATTGAATAGCATGTTTTCATTCTGTTTGGAGAATTCAGTCAGGCCTTAAATGACCAAACTAATTCAATACCAAACACTGTTGTTCTCGCACGATCGGTATACTTCTTTACAAAAGTCAAAGAGTAAAATGAAATGGGCTGAGAACCGCCTCTATCTTTAAAATGCATCTGGAACTCACTCTAGGGGGGTACTGCGAGTCGCCTGTTCGCCCTATTCCTTTGGTACCACTATCACTGGTACGTGGGCATGGTGAACGACATAATCACTCACACTTCCTAATATGGTGCGGCGAACTGTTCCCACACCACGGCAGCCAATCACGATAAAAGTTGCCCCCTCCTTCTTGACAACCTTACAGATATTCTCTCCAGGAGGGCCAGCTTCTACAACAATCTTTGCTGACAACTAAAAAACAGAGGAATGATTACAGAGGGGACTCATTGGAGAGAGGAGAAAATTTGTGAGAGAGGGAGTTTATTGGAGAGGGAGCTTATCAGATAGGGGTTTTATTGGAGAGTAGGGGAATTTTCAGAGAGAAGGGGGGGCTTATCGTCAAAAAGGTGGACTTATGAGAAAAAAAGAGAGAGATTTTCAGCAAGAGGAGTTTATTTGGGAGAGAATTTGTCAGAGAGGCCTAGGACTTATTGGAGAGAGGAGGGTTGTCAGACAAGGGAGCTTATTGGAGAAAGAGAGGGGGGAGTTTGTTGGAGAGGGGTGGCATTTTTAGAGAGAGAGAGGAGATTGTTGGAGAAGGAGCCTTATTATTAAAGAATATTATTAAAGGGGGGATTGTCAGAGAGCGGGGCTTATTTGAAAATTTACAGGATTTTTACATTTCTGATTTTATTTTTTTCTGAATAACACCAGTAGACAAAGTACCTTCAAGTCTTTGCATTTCTTCTCGTATTTCTTCTCCAGTTCTTTTATAATATTTTCGTGTTTCACAACTTCACGGCGCCATTCATCTGTGGCCATCATATCTTCAAAGAAAACAATTAAACACGTTTCTTTTTTCATATGAATCCATCAGAGGGCGTACAAAGCCTCCCTTAAAACCCTTTCTGGTCCAATCTTGATCCTGCTCAGAAATCCATACAACAAAATAGTGCCTCTACAATCGAAGGATTACCCTTAATTTCTGCAAAGCAGCCTGCCAAGTACATAAATTTCAAATTTTATATGGAGGGATTACAATTTGGTCTTCAAACACTTCTCCTTCGACGCCTCCACCCGACGTATTTCACTCTAGGTTCAAAAAATATTACTTACGAGGCAAAGCCGGGGGCTGCAGTTCATGCGAGTGTACCACAAGCAGTCGATCGCCATCATGATAAACATTTGTCATAAACCCTGTTTAGAATAAACAAAGACGTACAAAAAAGAAACTAAACAAACATCTAAGCTTTGCTAAAACAGAGGGATCTTGAGGGATAGGAAACAACAATAATACCATCTCGTTGACATAAGTACTCAGCGCAAAATGCTTAACGACTGAGAATTCAGACCACAAAGTTTGGTTGATTAACACAACGTCTAAGCAAGATGCGTGATGAAAACATGTCGTGTGTCGATATAAATGCGGGTAAACAGATGCGATGGCAAGTCTTTCTTTCTTCTCCTCTCAGCTCGTTTTGGTCTCGGAGCTCTCTCCTTCTCCTCCCCCCTCCCACTCAGTATGACTTCTCACTTCTCCCTGGGTATTATAATATATAAAAAAATTGTTATATCGAATCAAGTCAATTGGCACGTTTCTTCCGATGTCACAAAATCTACAAGCAAGCTAATGTATTCATGTTCGTGCAGATTCTCACGCAAATGTGTCATTATCGCTCTTCACGTAAAAACCGTGAGTTAAATTTCAGAAGATTCTCTTCAGACATGGTATTCATAAGGTAAACATTGACTGCACTATTTTGGCCGTAACAAGTGCGCATCCTTTGACTTGAAAACAATTCAACTTATCGTAAACACGGCAAGCCACCACTCGACCCAAATATTTACAAACGCATTTTGAGCTCGTGGAACGTATTCAGTAACGATTTCATGTAGAACATAGATTTAAACGTGTTTTTTAATACTCACAGTCAAATGCCTTTTCGCTGTGTTTGCTCGCATCTACAGCAATTGCCACAAGTCTTCCAGACATGATAAGCGGGAGCGAAGCAGTCTCGATGGTGTCAGAGAAATACGTCACGTCTAAGTTGTTTTGTTCCATTTATATCTTGACCTATTGTATAAAGTTAATTTAGTCACGCGATGTCCTGTGAATGATAATAATATCCTCCAATAGACTATGGCTATGATTTCACCTTCAACTTATTTCCCAGAAGACTCTAAGCAAAAAATCGATCGGTCAGTGGTCAAACAACAGCGCGTCAGAAGGGAAAAACATGTGATGGAAATGTTTATTTCTATCAGGCAGTTCATGTTAATTTTGTACCGGATGCCTTTTGCCTTTCACCCTCGCCTATTCAAGTTCGGTTTGGATCAGCCGTGGACTACAAAAGTATCCTATCTTGGGGCCTTCGTAGATAACTCTCTCGATTAAATTTCGCTCCATACCCTTGTATTTACTCTACACTTAGTGGGAAGTTTTTTTTCCAATAAGGAAAGGGTTCTTATTTGCTACCACTCGGTTTTATGCAATACTTGGTAATAGCTCTTGGCAATGCTGACAAACAATGATACTTTGTACACTCTGTAAGACTGTCAAAACAAAGGAAACCTACTAAACGAATTTCGTGGGTTGATTTTGCAACAAAGACAGTTAGCTTTCTTTCCCGGCACTCAGAATAAACAAGTCATTCTTGATTATTGACTCTTATTAAAGTGAAATCTTTTTGTTTTATAATACATTCGTTATTGACCATGCTTGTTCGGTCAAGATGGCTGCATGGATAATAGCTTCGTCCTGTTTTCGTCTTTGAGGACCTCGACTTCGTCTCGGCCCACGAAAACGCGAACAAAGCTCTTGGCCACTATCTAGCCATCTTGATCGCACGAGTGGTTAATAACCTTCATCAAGAAACTATTCCACTACTACGCCATTATACCATATTAGGGCAACAGAACGCTCTGTAGAACAGGGGAAATAATGCGGAAGGAAAGCGGAGCAACAAAATGGGTGCGCCGAGCATTCTAGATTTCTAGATTTTTTTAGTTCACACTTTGGGCTTGACTTTTTCAAAAACTTTCAAGTAAATCTGATTTTGTTGTATGTTCCGAAGAATATTTCTGTCAATTAATTGTTTCGCTTGTGTTGTTTCTTTCACGCACGCCTTTTGCAATTGACATGATATTCATTGAAGGTCGTAGGACTACGTAGGAAGTATTGCGCAAACTGAAAATTAAAATTTATTTTACTAGAAAATGAATTGATAGTGGAATAATAAATCCCTTATCGCCACTTGGATCATTGCTATGGTTATCTGGTGCCCAGACCTGTTCGCCTGGAAATCTGTCAAGTTTCCAGAGGAGCTGGCGTGTGTGATTGGAATGACGTATTCGGAGAGTACCCGTCCTTCAAAAACTACTCATTAGCGATGCACGCTGTCATCATTTTTGTCCCTGTGGTTTTCATAGCAATACGTTTATTGCTTTAAAAGTCAAATCCCAGAAGATTCCAGGAGAGCAATCAACTAACACAAGAGAAAAACGCTTGAAAAGAGAGCGAAATGTTCTTAAACTGTCCGTTACCATCGTGTTGGGATTTGCATTGTGTTGGCTTCCCCTAAGTAATGTGTGGTTCATGATGAATTTCAACTTAGACCGAACAATAACATCATCTTGAGGCTTCTATTACTTCTGGTCTGTTACCTTATTTCTAGCTATGTCGAACTGCGTGATCAACCCTTGGATCTGTGTATGTTTTGGTGGAAATTATCGTCAGGGTCTCAAGAATCTCCTCTGTCAGTTGCTCTTCTTTTGGTCCTGACGTTGATCAAGATGCACCGTAGTGTGACACCCGGGGCTCTAAGACGCTATTTCACTAAAGGATTAATTTCTTAATGAGTATTTTCATTTCAGACTACGATAAAGTCAACAGGGTAATTAGAGAGCCTAGAGTGAAACATCTTATTGAAAAAACCATAATGAATTTTTTGATCTAGTGATTCATGATTAAAAGGAATGGTGTGAATTGTCCGCTTGAAGTCTTTTTAAGACATGATAGATCAAAATAAGGACTAGTTCTGGTTAAAAACTGATTGTTTTATTGCTGAAAGTGGCATTTAGAAATTATCAGAAAGACGTTATACTGAACTCCCTCTATACAACACTGAAATTTGCACACAAATTGTAAGCATTCTTATCTTCCTTTGTCAGTTCACTTACTACAAAAATATACATAGATAAACTTATCGCTAGAGATGCTTTGATCAACGGTCAAACCGTTCTTTGAACTTTTGCGCAACGACTGTTTTTGTGAGCTGTATTAATCTGATCACATAATTTAATGACTTTTTTCAAACGTACCACATTGAAGACAAGTATGATGTAATTTACTGGACAAAAAGAGATGAAATAAAATGTTTATCAATAGCTGAGTCGAGTTTGTACATTACCATAATTGTCCTAATCATTGTTTGAAGTAGTATTCCCTTTCAAGATGACGATGCAGAATGGAAACACGATGGTAAATAATATAAAGACAGAAAAAAAAGCATCAATTTTCTTCTCGTCTATGGAACAGGAAATCTATTTAAAAGCTTACTTGCAATTTTTTGATTCAATATTAACTGCCTCAAAGCCGTCGAGAACTCCAGTTGCCTTAAACTTTCTTTTCATTTCAGAAAGTCGGTTATCCGGTGAATATCAAGGTAAACAAACTTTTCAAAATCGGATCTGCTCTCTTAACTTTAGTATCGGTTGCAAATGATTTGCAAAGTAATAGGATATATGATCCCTTCGATGGCAGTTAATGAGTTGATGTTCTCTAGTAAAAGGCTCAAACAAACAGAAATAATTTTGAGAGGAAAAATGGCCGCTCCGTGTGTACGGTGACATAACAAGGGGTACAAGTCCCAGCGACAATTCGCGTCGTGTAACACGGTGAGATTTTGTGAAAATCTTTCCTCCTGTGCCAGAGTTTTTTCCAAGTGATAATTTAACTCAGACTGGGTTTGTAAATGGACGCAAAATCTTTGAACTACAACCAGTGTGTGACATTGGTGATCTTTGTCACTTGTGCAAAGTTCTGTTTTGTGATTGGTTACTTGCCACAATAGCCATCACTCAAAAACAAAAACGGGTTTAATTCACATTGTATACGTAGACCGTCATCAAAACAGCAGGTGCAGGCTGTGAACCAGACAGAGAGTCAGCGAGTGAGAGAGTCGTGTTAATATACCAACAAAACGTTCACTTTGGCAATGAAACTTGAAAATTAACAACTACAGCTAAAGAGCTAAATTTGAATGACAGAGAAAAAGTCTCTCAATTCTCTGGATGTGAAGTAATATCAAATCAAACGCTTTTTAACCAAAAAGCTTTCTCACCGCTTACAAATGCTACTTTTAGCTCTGCAGTTAGAGGCCACGATCGTCTTCAGTAGATTTGCTCGATCTTAGTCGGGGTGGTGGCGAGTATAGATTGGTGAAGGCAAGACCAATCTACACCTTGAACGGAATTAAGTGGTTCCTTTCGGTCAGCCAGCTGATTTCTCACATCAGAGGAAAAAAGTGAGCTTATTTTTTCACTCTGGTCACATCGTGGGCAGCTAAGTTTGGGTTTGAACATTAGACTCAATAGCATATTTTCCCGTTACAGATCAGGATCCGTTTGACTAGTTTGCATTTGGTAGAGATGGCAGCCCCTTAATCCAAAGGTAAATCGGACAGAAGTCAATTGAATTTGTTTTCACCTAAAAGTCAACATGGTGACTGTCACAAGCGTCGAGAGTCAATAATTCACGTATTTCCTAAACCTACGAAGACGTATTTCTCAAAACTGTTTTATCACTGATATCGAGTATATTGGTTTTTTCTTATTATTTTTATAATTTAACATTATAATACCAGTTATAGAATGTTCTTAACCATACCATTCCGGGTAAATATCGATATGAATGATAACGCAGTTTTTTAATCTCGGGAAGTTTTGGATACAGAGTGGGAATTAAGAGTAAAATTAATTATGGTCTGGAGGTGCTTCATAAAGTTGAACAGTTTTAATTACCATGTAGATAACCAGGTCCGGATATGCAATGTTATTATATATGTAAATAATCAGCTGCGCGTGTGTTTTATGTCAATAGAGCGTAGGTAGGTAATCTTCAGAGTCACAGAACTGCTGGCTGAAGAAGAAACTTATCTCTTTGTTTTGAGAATGTCGGCAAACGTGGCGGTAATGACGACTGAAACACAGTCTATGTCGAGCTGCTTCAACCTCTCAGTAGAAAGAATTGGTTACACTTTTGCTTACTGTCTGCTATTTGCTGTTTCGCTGACTGGAAACGCCTTGATTGGAGTTATTGTGTACAAAACCCGAAGTCTGAGAAATCCTGTCAACTATTTTATTGCAAACATGGCCATATCTGATCTGCTGTTTCCTATTTTCCTGATCCCTCAGGTTTTAGTTCAGTTGAATACCAACACCTGGCTGATCGATGGTCCTCTTGGCCAAGCATTGTGTAAGCTGTCTGGTTATTTAGTTGATGTGTCAAGTGCTGTGTCCATTCAGAGTCTCGTTATAATAGCAGTAGATCGATTTAGAGCTGTGGTATTTCCCCTTCGTTCCCCACTGATTAGTTCAAAGCGCGGTCGGTTCTTCATTCTCGCCACTTGGATCATCGCTATGGTTGTCTTCTGCCCATCCCTGTTTACTTGGAAAGTTGTGGAGCAGCCAGAGGGGTTGGCGTGCGTGAGACGGTGGAAAGCGGCAGTTGAAGAGTCTTCGCTCAAAGAAACCTTTCCTGTCGCGATGACTATTTTATATCTGTATTTTCCTTTGGTTTTTATTGGCATTCTGTACCTTATAATTGCTTTCAAAATGAAAGCCATTAAGATTATAGGTTTGCAATCGGTAAACGTTAGAGAACAACGTTTAAAGAGAGAAAGAAATGTTTTTAAGATGTGCATTGCAATTGTGTTGGTGTTCGCAGTATGTTGGGTGCCATTCAGCATCTGGTGGCTGTTGTTCCTCTATTCTTCAGACAGAACAATATCATCGTGTGGCTTTCAATTATTTGGGGTCATAGCCGTATTTCTGAGGCGATCAAACTGTGCTGTCAATCCTTACATTTGTTTCATTTTCAGTGGAAACTATCGTCAAGGTCTTAAAAATCTCTTCAGTTGCTTCTCTGTTGGCCAAGCGCTTAATCAAATTGCACCTTGGTTTGATTCCCAAGCTATTGCCTTAAATTATTCACGCCCACAAAGGGATTAATTTCTAGATAACCTCCATCAAAAATCTATGTTTCATTTGCTAATGATTGTAAGGTAAATATTATCATCTGCTTTTATTTATAAAACATTTGACCGGGCCGTTTGCATGGCATGTAACAGAGTCCAGAGATTGGTTTCGTTACTCGCTATGTTATCAGTCTACATAAAAAAGAAATAAAAACAAGATTTTTAACATGATCGTGACGTATTTTGATTTGTACCACATGAGTGGTTATAAGGAGCTTTTTATTTGTGACCAATCATGTATTAAAAATTGGATGAGGAAGTGGCAAGTCGAGATAGGTCAGGGTAAGAGTATATAGTGCCTCAAAAATATTTAATCGGTTCCTCACAGTTAGCAAGTTGTTGACTCACAGCACAAAGGTTTCATGGCTGGCACCTGGGCTTGAGGTCTCTTTCAGTTTGTCCATTGTAGTTGAAAGAAGCTGACAGAAGACTTTACTATTTGAAATAAATTTTAACCTTTGCAAATTGGATTCCTATCTGATTCCAAATCCGATGGCTAAGTTCCAATGCTCGATGTCTCTTCACTTTTCCAGTATTTGGTGAATCAAATAATAGAAACAAAAGGCAGACAGCCCATTTTGTCTGTGTACATTCTATTTATAATTACACTTTTTGAGCCCAAGAGAGGACACACACAGCTTTCCATAATGCGACTTTTAGCTTTTCCCTACACCGAAAGGCCGGAAGATGTCACTAAAAAAACTGTTATTTATATGGTGGTTATTCATGAATACATCAAGAATTTTGTGCAATTTTAAATATCAGAAAGGCCACAAAATGTACACAGCCTCTAATGGACCTACAAGACACACTGACTGTCAAACAGATTCAACAGCACTAATGGCTTTCTGCCAAAACCTGTCTTGCAAGTAGAAAAAAAAAATACTGTCGGGACAGAAAATTTTACATGGGCGGCGGATGGAAAATATAGGTTTAGAAATCAGCAATTTTAGCTATACAATACCAAACTATTACCGTCGCTCTGTTCAGATTATCGCGAGGAAATCAATGACAGGAAGAGGTGCGAGACTGCCTTAGTGTTCGTTCTTACGGTATATCGAATTTTCTTTTATATAATTTCCAGCGAAAGCAATATTAAATACATATATTTTTGTAGCTCACAACTCTAAGCTCCTCTGTTTGCCTTTTTACAGAGATCTCCGACTATTACAAGGCTCCGGTACCGAAAGAAAAAGCAGAGAGAACGTGACTTTGAAAGTCGTCACAAATGTTAACGAGATTCAGTTCCAGATCGGATAAAAGGTTTCTAGACTCACGATTTTTGAAGGTATCCGACTCACACCTTCTGTTGTTTTGTCGGGCATAACTCCTGGATCTGTGTCTTGAGAAAAATATCATCAGTTTACCCCAAATGTGGTCGTTCACTGTTGTACTTAGTGGCTTTACCTTTTGAACGAATCTTCGCCAAAACTCACAAGAGATTCCGTTACGCTACGTAGATAAGGTAGGGGAAACACTTTTCTCTACTATTTTTTTTTTGCCCACGGTTTTGGGCAATGGATAACGCATGATACTTTTCAGAGACTGAGTGAAATATTTTCGATCAACTCATTTTAGAAACCGTGCTAAGCAACTGTCATAAGTGTCCGCTATAAAACTCTGATAGTTTTTAATGAGAGAGACTTACTTTTAAGCAGGACCTGCTTTTTTTTGCAAAAGATAAATAAAAAAACTCGCACCTTCTTCACTGTGAGACTTGTGAGAGAAAAAATATCACACCCTCATCTTGCCACGCGTTTGATTGAAAACGAAAATAACTCAAATACATGCTCTCGCAAAAACTAGTTATCATTCCTTTGATCATTATATCTTGTATCATCAACATAGTTACACGAATTCGGCGCTTTTGCAAAGAAGGATCCTTGTGTTAGGTAAACATGCTGGTTCTAAAAATGATGAGCACCTCGTTTGAAAACAGCTGTGCGCCAGAAACAAGGTCTTTAATCGCCTAATTTGCGAACCTTTGGCTCGATGTGCTAAACGAGGGTCAAGTCTACCCATGGGTACACCGATGGAGATTGATTTTACTGGTGCATATTTACACTACCCACTCCCCCAGTGCAGCAAAATTGTCACTCCGATAATTTTCTCGATTAGTTACGAGCTTTTCCGCCTCCCTTCGGCCAAAGTCCCTCAGGACTACCAATTACTCAGGACTTTTGTTTGGAAAGTTGACCCGGAACAATGTGCCATTTCTTGATACGATGGACACAAAGATTCATTCCGTTTCTTTTGTATGTCAATTTATAATTCTCTAAAACTGATTTCACCACTGAGCGTCTTACTACCAAGTATTTTTATGAAGGTGGTAATAATAACTCTCACGTTTATGGAGTACATCTTTTTCAATAGATTGGGAATATGTATTTAGAGAGTTGTAGAGAGGCTACATGCGACAATAATTATGTACACAGTCTTTATTTGGTGCTCTAGGCATGGTGGGATTGTAACGCAAAAACTCAAATACAGTAAAGGCTTTAGACCAACACATTTTCAAAAGAAAAAACATACAAAATAAAGACAGGAAAAAAAATTAATAAGTGAGTAAGGAAAAAGTGTTTTCGCTGGAAAAAATCTTTTGAATTCGTTCCTCATGGAAAACTAATTCCAACGAAGTAAAATAAGTTTAGCTGCAGAAAGTACATCGAGTTATTTGTTAGTAATCAGCTTTGTTTTCTTTATTGAGAATATAGATAGCCTCCTGAAAACTGCTCTGAAGAAGAACTGGTATCTCAGTTCCAAGAATGTCGGTAAATGAGTCTGCAGTGGTAAATGGAACACAGACCGTGGCGTCCTGCTTTGATTACGAAGTACTAAGGATCGCTTACATTGCTGCATTTTTTCCGGTATTTCTAGTTTCATTAGTTGGAAATATCTTTATTGGAATAATTGTCTACAAGACGAAATCCTTGAAAAAGCCAGTCGACTTTTTTACAGTAAACATGGCCATCTTAGATCTAGTGTATCCGATTTCCATGCTTCCTCGTAATGTTGCTTCATTATTTACTAGCAGCTCCTGATTAACCAGCGGTCCTCTTGGCCAAGCATTGTGTAAGCTGGGCTCCTTCTCAATAGAAGTCTTCACTCTTGTTTCAGTCTCAGGGTCTTGTTCTTATCGCAGTCCATCGATTTGGAGCTGTAGTTTTTCCCCTCCGTTCCCCACTGATCAGCTCAAACCAGTGCCACTTCTTGGATCACTTGGATCATTGCCATGGTCGTCAGGTATGCGGTCGATTAAAGCATATTTGCTGTAATCCTCCAAAATATCTTAGGTAAAATTAGAAAAGAATACTGATCTTGTTCATGGCTTGTGTGAATTTTTGTCGTTTCAAAGTGCACAAAGCTGAAAGCAGACTGTAAAAAGTTGCATAGTCACCTTTTGCAATACTATTTGCCGTTAACGTCACACATAACTTCTCTATTTTAAAACAACTTCCTTTCTCATACGTGATGATTCTGAGACAAGCTGTCAACTGTCACTCAACAACTAAATTATTCTATTTCGGTACTCCCAATTCTATCATGTGCTTTATTCCTGTTTGCCTTTAGATTCAGATCACGCCTTGCGATGAGCTATCTTTCTCAGAAATGACTTGTTTTTCCTCTTTCAGCTTTGTTTTCTTTACTGAGGATATAGGTAGCTTCCTGAGGACTGCTCTGCAGAAGAACTGGTATCTCAGTTCCACGAATGTTGGTAAATGGGACTGCAGTGGTAAATGGAACACAGACCGTGTCGTCCTCCTTCAATTACGAAGCACTAAAGATCGCTTACATTGCTGCATTTTTTCCAGTATTTCTAGTTTCATTGATTGGAAATATCTTTATTGGAATAATTGTCTACAAGACGAAATCCCTGAAAAAGCCAATCAACTTTTTCATTTTAAACATGGCCATGTCAGATCTGGTGTATCCGATTTCCATGCTTCCTCGTGATGTTGCTTCATTATTTATTGGCAGCTCCTGGTTAATCAGCGGTCCTCTCGGCCAAGCATTGTGTAAGCTGGGCTCCTTCTCAATAGAAGTCTCCACTGTTGTTTCATCTCAGAGTCTGGTTCTTATCGCAGTCGATCGATTTGGAGCTGTGGTTTTCCCCTTCCGTTCCCCACTGATCAGCTCAAACAAGTGCCGCTTCTTCATTCTCGCCACTTGGATCATTGCCATGGTCGTCAGGTGCCCGGTTTTGTTCTTCTTTAAGGTTTTAGAGCATCCAGACGGGCTGGTATGTGCGCCGCTGTGGTCTCCCTACTTCAAACACTACACTGTGGCAATGATCGCTGTCGGTTTTTATGTGCCATTAGTATTGATCACCATACTTTACCTTACCATCGCTTTAACAATCAAATCTCAGAAAACTCCGGGTGAACAATCAGTCAGCAGGAGAGAACAACGTTTAAAGAGAGAGAAAACCGTTCTGAAGATATCCATTGCCACCGTTTCAGCATTTACAATGGGCTGGCTGCCACTCAGTATCTGGTGGTTGGTGTACTTCTATTCATCAGACAAAACAGTGATATGGTCTGGTGGATTTCAATATTTCACGGAGATTGTCCGATTTTTTATGTACTCATACTGTGCTGTAAACCCCTGCATCTGTCTTATTTTCATCGGAAATTACCGCCAGGGTCTTAAAAATCTCCTCAGTTCCTTCACTGTTGCACCGCCGTAGCTTAAGCCCCCACACTCTAAAATTCTATTCAGTTATGAACGTTTTAATTAGAATTTAAGGAAAGTAAGCTTGGCAGTAAAAAAGATCTTTTCAGTAAAAGTTCTCAGTTGAATAAAAAAGAAGAACTTTGTCAATTATCAGCTTGATGTTTATAAAAACTACGATGATAAAGACGTGCACTGGTCCCGCTAGGAACTGATCGTTTATTTGCCTTCAGCCGCATGTCAAAAAGTCAGAGGAAGATAAGAAGTCAAGTAAAAGCTCAATTTTTAAAACGGAAAAACTTGTTGAACTCAAGAAACTTCATGCAACGGTTACACTGTTGTTTAAGCAGTTGTTTTATGTGTTCCTTCTGGTTACAAATGTTAAAGAAGATACTTGAAAATAACAGTCTTTCTACTAAGATGTAACACACTGAGAATTGAAATGTTCAGTGTTAAAAGCTAAAAATGAAATGTACATCCAGCTGATGTCTTAATGTCTACGGAGGAGAAGTTACTTTTCTTTGCATGGAGTTTGATTTTCACACAGCCAGTTGAAAAGTACATCAACATAATAGCACCTTTAGAAACTAACAGTTCTATAGTCGAACCTGTATTCAGCGGTCACAATACAAGTTGACCGCTAAATTCAGGTTCGGTTGTACTTCTTCGGAGAGTCAGTAAACGGAGTACTTTCAACAGGGAAGTTTGGTGTTATAAATAAATTAACAAGTTTAGTGAAATTAACTCCACGAAAAGATGTACATGACTTAAAGCAAGAAACGTATTTCTGTCTGAATAGATTTCAATATAAAGTAACTAATTAAAGCAAAATTTCGTTGCTTTGTCTGTTCAGTTCTTATATTAAAAGTTTGGGTTCAGAGCTAAAGATTGGTTAAAAAAACTGAGGGAAATTATCGTTCGTTTAAAACCAATTCAGGGGTACGGTTGATCGAAACCGATATGTATTCTTTTTTACTCTTTCGTCCTTTTATTCTTCTTTGATAGTCATATCACCTGTACTTTGTTTTACCGCAGGGACTGAAATTTGTCGCTCGGCAATGCTTACATTTTGAATAGCTGGTTGGATGAGTGTATGCGGTCGATTAAAGCAACGCCGTAATCCTTCAAAATATCTTAAGTAAAATTAGAAAAGAATACTGATCTTGTTCACGGCTTGTGTAAATTTTTGTCGTTTCAAAGTGCAAAAAGCTGAAAGCAGACTTTAAAACGTTGCATAGTCACCTTTTGCAATACTATTTGCCGTTAACGTCACACATAACTTCTCTATTTTAAAACAACTTCCTTTCTCATACGTGATGATTCTGAGACAAGCTGTCAACTGTCATTCAACATCACTAAATTATTCTATTTGGGCACTTGCCATTCTATCACGTGCTTTATTAATGTTTGCCTTTAGATTCAGATCACGCCTTGCGTTTAGCTACCTTTCTTAGAAATGACTTGTTTTTCCTCTTCAATATTTAAATACATTTCTCTAAAACTGTTTTTTTCACTTCTTGTCTTCCAATTCTGTCTGTAATCATACTCGTGATCAACAAATTGGACTCCCGCTTCGCAGTCGTTCGATTTTGTTAATCACTCGTATGATTACAGACCGAATTAGACTCCACTCGGTCTTATTACCAATACTAATCTGTTCTCTCTCTATGGAAATTATCGTCAAGGCCTTAATAATCTCTTCAGCTGATTTCTCTTCGGTTGACCCAGATGCTTTTTTGTAGTTTGAGCCCAGAGCTGTTGCGTGTTAGCTCACCTGCTTACGATGTTTCTGGTGCAGATACACAATATATCAGCCTTACTGCTGATATATAACAAAAATGGGCTCATTAATACTACTTTTGAATAATCACTTTCGACAAAGTTTAAAGGTCGGGATACAACACAATCGACCCCGCAGAAAAAAAAAATAGATATCTTCTCTACTGGTATTCTGGCACTTGCTCATTCAAACTGACCGGCCAGGGAAGTTGAAATAAACCAACATCTTCAAAATCCTCAGAAAAAAGTCACTTCAGACCGCACGACTTCATGTATATACCTAACTGGCAGCTCAAAGAAGTTTTAAGAAAATTTGAATGACGGCTTAAACCATTATTTAGAATAATTATGGTTAAGTGGTCGTTTGATATATATAATTCTAGGTACATATTTTGTGAACACTTTTTTGTAGAGCACTGTCGTTAAAATTTTCCCAAGAGGTTTCCTAAAAGGATCAGATAAAAATAAAAATCGAATTGATCACGTGTAGCCTCGAGTTAATTAAGACAAAACATATCACGAAGCCACAGCTCTTTCATGACTTTGTGTTCGCGAAAACTTAACCCGTCCGCGCCTTGTTATAAATACCCGAAAACATATGATTAAAATGCTCTTTTTTAAGCTTACAATTTTTTGAATGAGTGTGCCTGAAATGATTATTAAACGAAGGGATGAAAATATATTTAGAGCAATAGAAAGAATAACATCTGTTTATTCTCTGGCATGAGAAATAAAAAGAGATATCTTAGTAGTGGAACATTAGGGTTTGACTGAATTAAGAAAAAAAAATTGATAGAGAACTGAAAGAAGTTTGGCGCTTTTTAAACTTCATCAATTTCTTCCTTAGCACTCATATCACCGGCCACTTTGTAAGTTGCTTTTACCTCGGGGTAGAATGACATATGTCGCTCAGTAATATTTACAGCTGTAATAACTGACCTCACTAGAGCACTTAACAAAAGTGTGTTTATACGGTCGTTTAAATTTTTCAGTTTACTAGGTTTTTCTCAAAGGAATCTCATGGTTTCTCTATAACCCTTTAAAATACTGTGTACTACATCTTGGAACATTTTCCTTCTCTAATTATAGGCCGCCATCACGCGGAGCCAACTGTCAAACGTTATTCAATAAATAACGCTATTTCAGTATTTGTTTTCCAGTCATTTGCTAAAGTTTTATTGCCTGTTTAATTCAGATCACGCTTTGCAAGGGGAAGGAAGCAGCCAGCTTTCGTTTTAACATCCTTTTTCCCCGTTTTCCGTCTCTCAATTACAAGGCCATTTTTGTGCACAAAATAAGGAAAGATGCGCATAACTTGACACATATTCCTCGCTTTTCTAGCTCACATTAGTTTCTCACGACTCATTCTGGCTGCGAAACTGACATCCGTCAATCGTCTTTTACGAAAATAGGAAGCAAACAAGCGATCAAGAAACAACCACAAAAACTATCATCAAGTGACTGAAGCACAAATTTATGATATGTATTGAAAGCGTTTTACATACACGTCAAGATGCGGAAACAGAAGAAAAGGAACTTTCTACAACTGTTCCTGAGGCCAATGATATTTCTATTTAAAGTACAATTATTCAAATGAGATCATTCCAAATTTTCATCTCAGGTTACTGATACGGTTCATCGAAACCGATATTTATTTATATTTTTTTTACTCTTTCGTCTTTTTGTTCTTCTTTGATGGTCCACAAATTATTCTATTTCGGTACTCGTTATTCTATCACGTGCTTTATTCCTGTTTGCCTTTAGATTCAGATCACGCCTTGCGTTAAACTACCTTCCTTAGAAATGACTAGTTTTCCTCTTTTATATGTAAATACATTTCTCATTAATTGTTGTTTTCACCATTACCAATCATACCAAAAGGTTAGAAAGAATTATAGAATTCAAAATCTTTTTTTTTCCTTAACAATCCTATTTTAACTGACTCTATTCCTTTCCTAAAAAAAAGTTTTTTGAGTACAGACTATAAGTCGAAATTAACTGAAAGTAAAATGATATCTGAAGATTCTTAGTTAATCAATTTGTAATGTATACGTAGACAGTCGCCTCTGCTTTACTTAAATAGAGTATATGGGGACTCAGACTTTTTTCTTTGTCGCACGCTCTTGACAAGACGAAAACATCTTCCTTCCAGAAATTTATATGTTAGGAATAACTTTTGGATCCGTACCTGAAAAAGATTGTTTCCCCCAAACGACTAATTGTTGACTGGTTTTACAAAGTGGATGCAGCTTGAAAGAATAGTTCGGTAAAAACTGTGAGAAGGTTTTTCCGTAAGGTAAGAGCACTCTTTTACTGTTTTTCAGTTGTATGACGCTTCGCATGGAGCGAGCGAAATAACACAATTTTAAAGTTTTTCTGAACAATTTACCTTTGTTTTCTTTAAATAGAGTTGAGGCAGCCTCTTGATAACCACTGACTGAATTAGAACTGATCTCTCAAGAATGTCAGCAAACGTGACTGCAACGATGAATGGAATACAGTCCATGTCGAGCTGTTTCAACCCCATAGCGACGAGAATCGGTGAAACCTTTGCTTACTGCTTGCTATTTCTTGTTTCGTTGGTTGGAAATACCTTCATCGCAATGATTGTCTTCAAGACAAAAACTCTAAGAAAGCCCATTAATTTCTTGATTGTTAACATGGCCATGTCCGATATGCTTGTTCCGATTTTCCTTTTTCCTCGTGAATTGGTTTTGACATACACTCGCTCCTGGCTGATAGGCGATCCGCTCGGTCAAGTGTTATGTAAGCTGAGTATCTATGCATCTAATCTGTCCTTTACTGTGTCTATTCAAAGCCTGGTTTTAATAGCGGTCGATCGATTTGGAGCTGTGATGTTTCCCCTTTGTTCCCCGCTGATTAATTTCAAGCGATGCCGGGTCTTCATTCTCGCCACCTGGTTCATCGCTATGGCTATCTTTTGCCCAAACCTGTCCGCCTCGAAAGTTGTCGAGTCTCCAGAGGGGCTGGCGTGTGTGGCTGATTGGGAGGACGCATTAGGAGAGTCGTCGTCCTACAAAAACTTCGTTTTGGTGATGCAAGTTGTAATTTTTTATGTCCCTTTGGTTTTGATCACAATACTTTACTCTGTCATTACGTTAAAAATCAAATCCCAGAAGATTCCAGGAGAGCAATCAACTAACACAAGAGAAAAACGCTTGAAAAGAAAGCGAAATGTTCTTAAACTGTCCGTCGCCATTGTGTTGGGGTTTGCATTGTGCTGGCTGCCCCTAAGTATTGTTTGGTTCATGTTCTTCAACTCAGACCGAACAATAACATCATCTTGTGGCTTCTATTACTTCTGGTCTGTTTCCTTATTTCTAGCCAAGTCGAACTGTGCGATAAACCCTTGGATCTGTATATGTTTTGGTGGACATTATAGTCGAGGTCTCAAGAATATTCTCAGTTGCTCTTCTTTTGGTTCTGACGTTGATCGAGATGCACCGTAGTGTGACCCCCAGGACTCTAAAACTTTATTTCACCTAAGGATTAATTTTTTACTGAGTGTTTTAATTTCAGATTGCGATAAAGTCAGCAAGGTAATTAAAGATTCGAAAGTTACATTTTTTTAAATTATTAATTAACGAAAAATAAATAAACTTATCAATAGAGAGGCTTTGTCCAAAGGTCAAACCGTTGTTTGAACTTTTGCGTAACGAATGTTTTTGTGAGCTGTATTAATCTGATCACCTAATTTAAGGACTTTATTTGAAATTTAAGAGTCTTTTGACCGAAACGTAACACATTAGGAGACACATATGATGTAGTGAACAAAAGACATCTAAAATGTTTATCAGTAGCTGAGTCGAGTTTGTATCATTACCATAATTGTCATGATATGAAATAGTATTCCCTTTCAAGATGACAATGCAGAATGGAAACACGATGTTAAATAAAATAAAGAAGCATTACTTTTCTTCTCGTCTTTGAAACAGGAAATCTATTTATTACTTGAAATTTTTTGATCCAATATTAACTGCCTCAAAGCCATCGAGAACTCCAGTTGCCTTAAACTTTCTTTTAATATCAGAAAGTCTTTTCTCAGGTGAATATCATGGTGAACAAACTTTTCAAAATCGGATCTACTCTCTTAACTTTAGGATTGGTTACAAATTATTCGCAAAGTAATAGGATATTATATGACCGAGAAATACAGATTTGAAATAATTAATGCTGTCACTGATGAACCAAAGGGCATAATCTTGTCAGTTATTAGCTTGATGATCCCCGCAGACTAACGTTCAGTTGGACCGAACGATCTCCTGTTTCTTCCTGGTGAGCCGGCCACCTCAGGGGAAAATCAAAGAGACCTTTGACTTCTTCTCGTGTAAATCACTGGGAGATTGCGTTATACTCATCTTTCTTTAAGTTTGTAAAGATATCCGGGAGAAAGGTATGTAAAATAATGGTGATGAAATCGCTGTTCTTTTTCCTGAAGGACATGAAGCAATCCAGATTACATATTAACCATGGGGAGTTTCGTTCAAGTGACGAGTTGTGATTTGCGTGTGGATAATGAGTTGTTTGAAAGGTGGATATTATGATTTCATTAAATCTTTTATTTCGGACTTTGTTATGATTTTTCAACAAGAGTGCTGCAAACTTTAAAAATGGCATTTTTGTGCATCCCCCTTGAGAGCCTAACTGCATGCAAAATTTGATGGAGGGTTGAAAATTTGCATTTCCCAAGATGTTTGATTCTTACTGAGACTTGTTCTTAATTTTTATGTAGATAATCAGGTCTGAATATGATTTTATTATACAATTATGACATTGGTCTTTCTGTAACTATCTCTTTCAGTTCATTCAAGGCACACCTAATCAGTTATTATAATCAATCACTCTGTAAATCATTGACCCTGAAGATCCTCGCTCATTTAAGTCTGTCTGCACAAGTTGCAACAAAGCCCGTAATCTGACAAGAAACACTGATTGTTGCTACGCGTGTTTTATGTCAATAGAGTATAGGTAGGTAATCTTCTGAGTCGCAAAACTGCCGGCTGAAGAAGATACTTACCTCTTTGTTGTGAGAATGTCAGCAAACGTGGCGGCAACTGGAATACAATCTATGTCGAGTTGCTCCAACCTTTGAGTAGAAAGAATTGGTTACACTTCTGCTTATTGTCTGCTATTTGCTGTTTCGCTGACTGGAAACGCCTTGATTGGAATTGTTGTGTACAAAACCCGAAGTCTGAGAAATCCTGTCAACTATTTTATTGCAAACATGGCCATATCTGATCTGCTGTTTCCTATTTTCCTGATCCCTCAGGTTTTAGTTCAGTTGAATACTAATACCTGGCTGATCGATGGTCCTCTTGGCCAAGCATTATGTAAGCTGTCTGGTTATTTAGTTGATGTGTCAAGTGCTGTGTCCATTCAGAGTCTCGTTACAATAGCAGTAGATCGATTTAGAGCTGTGGTATTTCCCCTTAGTTCCCCACTGATTAGTTCAAAGCGCTGTCGGTTCTTCATTCTCGCCACTTGGATCATCGCTATGGTTGTCTTCTGCCCATCCCTGTTTACTTGGAAAGTTGTGGAGCATCCAGAGGGGCTGGCGTGTGTGAGGCGGTGGAAAGCGGCAGTTGGAGAGTCTTCGCTTAAAAAAACCTTTTCTGCCGCGATGACTATTATATATCTGTATTTTCCTTTGGTTTTTATTGGCATTCTGTACCTTATTATTGCTTTAAAAATAAAAACCAAAAGGATTATAGGTTTGCAATCGGTAAACGTTAGAGAACAACGTTAAAGAGAGAAAGAAATGTTCTGAAGATATGCATTGCAATTGTATTGGTGTTCGCAGTATGTTGGGTACCATTCAGCATTTGGTGGCTGTTGTTCCTCTATTCTTCAGTCAGAACAATACCATCGTGTGGCTTTCAATTCTTTGGGGTTATTGCCGTATTTGTGAGGCGATCAAACTGTGCTGTCAATCCTTACATTTGTTTCATTTTCAGTGGAAACTATCGTCAAGGTCTTAAAAATCTCTTCAGTTGCTTCTCTGTTGGTCAAACGCTTAATCAAATTACACCTTGGTTTGATTCCCAAGCTATTTTCTTAAATTATTCACGCCCACAAAGGGATTAATTTCTTGATAAACTCCATCAAAAATCTATTTTTGATTTGCTAATGATTGTAAGGTAAATATTATCATCTGTTTTTATTTATAAAACATTTGACCGGGCCGTTTGCATGGCATGTAACAGACTTCAGAGATTGGTTTCGTTACTCGTTATGTTATCAGTCGAAATAAAAAAGAGGTACAATAAATAAAAAAAATTTAGTGAAATCCACAAGACCATATCACTGTTTTGTCTGATGAATAGAAGTACACCAACCACCAGATACTGAGTGGCAGCCAGCCCATTGTAAATGCTGACACGATAGCAATAGAGATCTTCAGGACGATTTTCTCTCTCTTTATACGTTGTCCTCTTCTGCTGACTGATTGTTCGCCCGCAGTTTTCTGAGATTTGATTGTTATAGCGATGGTTAGGTAAAGTATGGTGATCAAAACTAATGGGACATAAAAGACAACGGCGATCATCGCCACAGTATAGTGTTTGAAGTAGGGAGACCGCAATGGCGTACATACCAGACCGTCTGGATACTCCAAAACTTTAAAGAAGAACAAAACGGGGCACCTGACAACCATGGCAATGACCCAAGTGGCGAGAATGAAGAAGCGGCACTGGTTTGAACTGATCAGTGGGGAACGGAGGGGAAAAACCACAGTTCCAAATCGATCGACTGCGATAAGAACCAGCATCTGAGATGAAACAAGAATGGAGACTTCTATTGAGAAGGAGACCAGCTTACACAATGCTTGGCCGAGAGGACCGCTGACCAATCAGGAGCTGCTGATGAACAATAAAGCTACGTCACGAGGAAGCATGGAAATCGGATACACCAGATCTGACATGGCCATGTTTACAATAAAAAAGTTGACTGGCTTTTTCAAGGATTTCGTCTTGTAGACAATTTTTCCAATAAGGATGTTTCGAACTAATGAAACTAGAAATACCGGAAAAAATGCAGCACTGTGAGCGATCCTTAGTACTTCGTAATCAAAGTAGGACAATACAGTCTGTGTTCCATTTATAATTACAGTCTCATCTACCGACATTCTTGGAACTGAGATACCAGTTCTTCTTCAGAGCAGTTTTCAGGAGGCTATCTATATTCTCAATAAAGAAAACAAAGCTGATTACTAACAAATAACATTTAACATGAGAGTTATTGTTACCACCTTCATAAAAATACTTAGTAGTAAGACGATCAGTGGTGAAATCAGTTTTAGAGAATTATAAATTGATATACAAAAGAAAAAAACGAATCCTTGTGTCCAAAGACACTTATAACAGTTGCTTAGCACGGTTTCTAAAAGGAGTCAACCGAAAACATTTCACTCAGTCTCTGAAAAGTATCATGAGTTATTCTTTGCCCAAAACCGTGTATAAAGTAGTAGAAAAACAGCTTCCCATACCTTATCTTTGTAGCGTGACTGAATCTCTTGTGAGTTTTGGCGAAGGTTCGTTCAAAAGATAAATCCACTAAGTACAACAATGAACGACCGCACGTTTGGAGGAAACTGATGATATTTTTCTCGAGACGTAGATCCAGGAGTTATGCCCGACAAAATAACAGACGATGTGAATCGGATACCTCCCAAAATCGAGAGTCTCAAAACCTTTTATCCGATCTCGAAACTGAATCTCGTTAATATTTGTGATGACTTTCAAAATCTCGGTCACTCTGCTTTTATTTACTAAAAGTTTGATTTCAGAGCCAAAGATTGGTTAAAAAAGGGGAAATTATCGTTTGCCTGAAACAAGTTCAGGGATACGGTTTATCAAAACCGATATTTATTCGTTTTCACTCTCTCGTCCTTTTGTTCTTCCTTGTTTCACCGCGGGGACTGAAATTTTTCGCTCGACGATGTTTACATTTTGAATAGCTAGCCTCGCCGAAGCACAGAAGCTTGATGAGTGTATGCAGTCGATTCTATTAAAGCAACAGAAATATCATATTTGCTGTTATCCTCCAAAATATCTTGAGTAAAATTAGAAGAGAAGGCTAATCTTGTTCACGGCTTGTGCGAATTTTTGTCGTTTAAAAGTGCAAAAAGCTGAAAGCAGACGGAAAAACGTTGCATAGTCGCCTTTTGCAATACTATTTGCCGTTAACGTCACGCTTAAACTTCTCTGTTTTAGAACAACTTCCTTTCTCATAGAAAGCTCAAAGAATTTTCAAGGAAATTTGCATGACGGCTTAAACCTCTTCAATATTTAAATACATTTCTCTAAAATTGTTGTTTTCACCATTTACCAATCATACCAAAAGGTTAGAAAAAATTATAGAATTCAAAATCTTTTTTTGAGTACAGACTATAAGTCGAAATTAACTGAAAGTAAAATGATATCTGAAGATACTTAGTTAATCAATTTTTAATGTATACGTAGACAGTCGTCTCTGCTTTATTTAAATAGGGTTTAGGCAGCCTTTCAATTAAGAACTCTTGGCATACGACTAAGGACTCTGACGAAATTTATGAATTCATTAATATTATCAGTATATATGTAAACAATCACCTATGTTTTCTTTCATAAAGCATAGGTAGGATTCAGAGTCAGACAGAGAACTGTTGGCCGAAGAAGAAACCGATAATCGGATGCCGCAAAGGGACTAAGACTTTTTTCTTTGTCGCACGCTCTTGACAAGACGAAAACATCTTTCTTCCAGAAATTTATATGTCGAGAATAACTTTTGGATCCGTACCTGAATAAGATTGTTTCCCCTAAACGACCAAACGTTGATTGGTTTTACAGAGTGGATGCAGCTATTTTGAAAGAGTAGCTCGGTAAAAACTGTGAGTCAGCTTTGTTTTCTTTACTGAGGATATAGGTAGCTTCCTGAGGACTGCTCTGAAGAAGAACTGGTATTTCAGCTCCAAGAATGACGGTGAATGAGACTGCAGTGGTAAATGAAACACAGAGCGTGTCGTCCTGCTTTGATTACGAAGTACTAAGGATCGCTTACATCGCTGCATTTTTTCCGATATCTCTAGTTTCATTGGTTGGAAACATCTTTATTGGAATAATTGTCTACAAGACGAAATCCCTGAAAAAGCCAGTCAACTATTTTATTGCAAACATGGCCATGTCAGATCTGGTGTATCCGATTTCCATGCTTCCTCGTGATATAGCTTCATTATTCATCAGCGACTCCTGGTTGGTCAGCGGTCCTCTCGGGCAGGCATTGTGTAAGCTGGTCTCCTTCTCAATAGAAGTCTCCACTGTTGTTTCATCTCAGAGTCTGGTTCTTATCGCAGTCGATCGATTTGGAACTGTAGTTTTTCCCCTCCGTTCCCCACTGATCAGTTTAAACAAGTGCCGTTTCTTCATTCTCGCCACTTGGATCATTGCCATGGTTGTTAGGTGCCCGATTCTGTTCTTCTTTGAGGTTTTAGAGTATCCAGACGGGCTGGAATGTACGCCGCTGTGGTCTCCGTACCTCAAACACTATACTGTGGCAATGATCGCCGTCGTCTTTTATGTCCCATTAATATTGATCACCATACTTTACCTTACCATCGCTTTAACAATCAAATCTCAGAAAACTGCGGGCGAACAATCAGTCAGCAGGAGAGAACAACGTTTAAAGAGAGCGAAAATCGTTGGGAAGACCTCTATTGCTATTGTGTCAGCATTTACAATGGGCTGGCTGCCACTCAGTATCTGGTGGTTGGTGTACTTCTATTCATCAGACAAAACATTGATATGGTCTTGTGGATTTCATTATTTCACGCAGATTGTCCGATTTTTTATGTACTCATACTGTGCTATAAACCCCTGTATCTGTTTTATATGCATTGAACATTACCGCCAGGGTCTTAAAAATCTCCTCAGTTGTTTCTCTACGGCGCCCAGGGCGCCATAATCAAGTTGCACCGCCGTAGCTTAAGCTCCGCACTATAAAATCTAGGTGATGTCTTGATGTCTACGGAGGAGAAGTTACTTTTCTTTGCATGGAGTTTGATTTTCACACAGCCAGTTGAAAAATGTGTCAACATCGTAGCACCTTTAGAAACTAACAGTACTATAGTCGAACTTGTATTCAGCGGTCACAATACAAGTTGACCGCTTAATTCAAGTTCAGTTGTACTTCTTCGGAGAGTCAGTAAACGGCGTACTTTCAACAGGGAAGTTTGGTGTTATAAATAAATTAACAAGTTAGTGAAATTAACTCCACGAAAAGATGCACAAGCCTTAAAGCAAGAAGCGTATTTCTCTCTTAATGGATTTCAATATAAACTAACTAATTAAAGCTTAATTTCGTTGCTTTGTCTGTTCAGTTCTTATATTAAAAGTTTGGGCTCAGAGCCAAAGATTGGTTAAAAAAACTGAGGGAAATTAACGTTTGCCTAAAACAACTTCAGCGATAAGGTTCATTGAAACCGATATTTATTCTTTTTTACTCTTTCGTCATTTTGTTCTTCTTTGATAGTCATATTACTTGTACTTTGGTTTTACTGCGGGGACTGAATTTTGTTGCTCAGCGATGTTTACATTTTGAATAGATGGCCTCGCCGAAGCACAGAAGGTTAATGAGCGTATGCGGTCGTTTAAGTCGGTTTAAGCAACGGAAATATGATCTTTGCTCGAATACAGAAACAAGGTTAAAGGAAAAATTTACATCGTAAGCCATATGAATTCTGTCATGTAAATTTGTTAAATTATTACAAGTTCTCCTGGTGACTTATGAAACCATACCTTTTTTCTCGCATATAGGAAATCGGCTTTGTCCCGGCTGTTTCCTTCCCTTTTATTACAACTTCGTGACGGTTTTCTTTAAAACTCCAACCATTCTACTGAGCAACAAGACTAATGAGTAAGCTCAGGCTGGATTAAACTTTCAATGGCAACATAATTGAAAATAAATTCTGAATTGAAAAGAGCATTGTAGATCTTTTCGCTACCAGCTGTCAACCGTTATTCTATATCAGTAAACATCTGCGGCTGGGCTATTTCTGGAGCCATTGGAACAATATTGATAATTTTAAAAACTCATATAAGATGGGCTCCTGCTCATAAACTTGAGAAATTGTCCCTTTTGCCGACAATATTTGAAAAAGCATATCAATTGCCTAATTTCGGACAACGGCTGATTCCAGTTATACTTTTCTTATTTAGAGGTCTCAGGTGAAGACTGTCAATTTTCTAAAATTTATTTTCCTAGGTATGTTCATTAGTTAAACATGTGAAAGTTTGATTGATCTATTCAAGATGGATAGGTTGTGTTTTGATCCAGCATAGTTTAAGTACCCACCGCAGGGCTTTTGGCGGAAGAAAAACCTGATCTCTTGGTATCGAAAAAATGTGGCCAAACGTGACCGAAATGATGAATGGAACACAGTCCATGTCGAGCTGCTTCAACTCACAGCAAAAAGAATTGGTGAAACGTTAGCCTGCTGTCTGCTGTTTATTGTGTCGCTGGCTGCGAATACCTTCATCAGAATAATTGTCTATAGGACGAAAACTCTGAGAACACCAATCAACATTTTGGTTGTAAACATGGCAATCTCCGATCTGTTGTTTCCGATTTTCCACTTTCCTAAAATTTCTGTAAAGATAAACACAGCTGGCCATTGGCTGGTCAGCGGTCCCCTTGGCCAAGCGATGAGTAAACTGAGTTCCTTTGCTACAGATGTCTCAACTCTAGTGTCAGTTCGGAGCTTGTTGTTGATCGCAGTGGATCGATTTGGGACTGTAGTATTCCCTCTCCGTTTCCGTGGATCATCACCATGGCTACATTCATCCCGTATCTGCTCGCGTTCAAACTGGTCGAATATCATCATGAGTACAAGTGTGTGCAGCAATGGATGCGTGTTTTAGACGATTCCTCGTTGATGACAAAATACTTTATTGCACTTTTTATTGCATTTTTTTATATTCCCTTCGTTCTGATGTTTATTCTATATCTTGCGATTTTTTTGTAACTGAAGTCCCAGAGAGGACAAGGCGAACACTCAATGAACGCTCAAATTCAGCGCTGAAGTTTTCCATTGCTATTGTGTTAGGGTTCGCTGTAAGCTGGATTCCATTCAGTATTTTTACATTAGTACGTTTGTTTGCAGATAAAATCAATACTACAATGTCTTGTGGAATCAAACAGTTATTTGAGCAAGTTGCTCCGCTACTGAGTCGAACAAACAGCGCTATGAACCCCTGTATCTGTTTTATTTTCAGTGAACATTATCGCCAAGGTCTTAACAATCTTCTCGGCTGCTTCCGAGTTGCCAGGGCTAATAAAGATGCAATGTAACATAGTAGCCGCTTTGGAATATAATAAGAATTGTTTGTAAACTGAACTGAAACTAAATTAAATACATCATTATGAAAAGTAAAGAACATCCACACTGAGGGATTTAGAAACGAATCTGTTGCCGTAAAAACATTTTTTTCCTAGGGGTGAACCGTTGATATGCATTAAGGAATCCTGTCAACGTTGCATTAGAAACAACTATGAATAACACATATTAATCAAGTAGTATCTGATAAATTCTTACAGTCATGCGCATTAGAAAGGGTTTTAATTCCTGTCGGATATGGAATATCATCTTCATTTGGATTATATTATAAATACCATACAGAACACAGGGAGAAACTTATCATTTTATCAATCACTTTATCTTAGATATGACCATATCAGATGTATTAATCCAAATTTTCTAGATTCCGAACGCTCAATCACTAACTTTGCTTCGTGAGGAAGCATTTACTGTGCATCATATATTGCTTACTTCTGGTAAGAATACAATGTAAGAAAGTTTTTAATTTGGCCTCGTTTGTTCAAACGGGTGCTCATACTGGTAAAACATTAGCAAACACTTAGATGGAGATTCAGAAATAGGACGCGATATGCTGGCGACATCCTGACACAATTATCAAATATTTGATTCTCTCAATCGTATATTGTGGGTGGAAAAATATCTGAAAGAGGAAAGCGACTGACAACAGAATATAAACATTTAATATTCTCTTGCTACTGATTAAACAATTCTGTTCAAATAGAGTCCGCTTGTTGACGTCTGTCAGATCTCGTTTCTTTATTTCGATTAGTAACATTCAGTAAATAAAGTTTCCTTGTCTTCCCTCCCCCTCAATTTCTTCATGAATCTCGCCTGTCGGAGGCTTACAGTCAGCAAAGACAGGCGAGGAGGCAGGCGCATAAAAGATGGCACGCAGAGGTTTCCTTGGACGTAGTTTCGTTTTATATTTCTTAATTGAAATAAGAGAAAGGGCTGCCAATGACTCACTTATTTAGTACAAAATTGTCGAGAAATCATGACTAGTTAATGAGATGAAAGAGATCACGGATTCTTTTACACTTTACCCTCCTATAATTCTGATTAAGATTTCATATATAATATAAACATATTCAAATTAAATAAAGACAGACGAAAAGATATGAACATGTTCAAATAAAGACAGACGGAACTTAATCACTTCTTACTACAGGCTTTAGACAACACCCAGTTTTCATGAAGCATAATGGGGGACAATTTTAAAAATGTCTTTTTCCTTTACACTTTGGCCGTCAGAATCGAGAAAATGTCAGATCTGTGAAATAAAGTCGTCTGTGTCGGAAATTCGCTCTTGTGTAATTGTATGAAAATTTCCCAAATGCTTCTGGTGGAAAAAGTAATATTATCTATTCATCAAACAAAACAGTGATATGGTCTTGTGGATTTTAATATTTCACGGAGATTGTCCGATTTTTGATGTACTCATACTGTGCTGTAAACCTCTGCATTTGTTTTATTTCCATTGGACATTACCGCCAGGGTCCTAAAAATCCCTTCATTTGCTTCTCCATAGCGCTAAGGGCTAATCAGGTTGCGCCGCCGTAGTTAGGCCCCGCACTATAAAATGCTCATCAGTCGCAATCAAGGATAAATTTCGTACTGACCGTTTTAATCAGAACTTAAGGAAAGTCAACTTTACAGTAAAAAATATCTTTTTAGTAAAAGTTCTTAGTTGAATAACAAAGGTGAACTTTGTCGATTGTCAGTTTGATGTTTTTAAAAACTATGATGATAAAGACATTCATTGGTCCCGCTTGAAACTGATCGCTCATTTGCATTCAGCGGCATGTCAAAAAATCAGAAGAAGATAAGAAGCCAGCTATAAAAGCATAATTTTTTATAACGGAAAATCTTGTTAACCTCAAGAAACTTTATGGGAGTTTTGGTGACGAAAATAAATTAACAAGTTAGTGAAATTAACTCCCCGAAAAGATGTACAAGACATAAAGCAAGAAGCGTATTCCTGTCTGAATGGATTTCAATATAAACTAACTAATTCAAGCAAAATTACGCTGCTTTGTCTGTTCATGCAGTTCTTATTTTAAAAGTTGGGTTCAGAGCCAAAGATTGGTTAAAAAAAAAGGGAAATTATCGTTTGCCTAAAACAACCTTAGGGATGCGGTTCATCGAGACCGATATTTATTCTTTTTTTTACTCTTTCGTCTTTTTGTTCTTCTTTGATAGTCATATCACCTGTACTTTGGTTTTACCGCGGAGACTGAAATTTGCCGCTCGGCGATGTTTACATTTTGACTAGATGGACTCGCCGAGGCACATATGGTTGATGAGCTTATGCAGTCGTTTAAGTCAACTATTTATCTCCATTTGCTATTATGCTTTTTAAATCGAAAGAAAGAAAATGCAAAATTTTTACAGAGCGGCTTTACGATACAAATGGCCGGAATACTTTGATTAAAAAGCTGTCACCGTTAAAAGAATTTCGAAATTCGTTAAATAGAAAGTGACTTATTAATTGAGCTGACAGTTGGAAATTCCCAAAAAGGAATGTTTACACGAAAAGTAGTCTCGCAATATGCAAAGGTATTTGAAGATAAAGACCGATTAATTAAGTTATTATGACAGAGATAATTTACCGTAAGGTTGTTTTGTAGCTATTGTTTTTGTAGTTAAATAGGGCGAATGAAAGGTTTGTTATTATCTAAAAAGTTATTTCAAAACAGTCACAACATGAATCAAGAAGAACATGGAACTTCAATTTCTAAGATTGATCTTTTCCAGCACTAGTCATTTCAGTCGGCGTTAAACTTAAATGATCCGCTCAGCTGAAGGGAAGTTCGTGAACAAAGTGCCATCAGGCACAAGCTTATTAGATTCAAATTGCTAACGAGGGTTGAGCCCTGTGCATAAAAATTATGTGTAAATACCGTGGCTTTGATATATTTCATCGGCAGGTCTTTCAAAAGACATAGTAATTAGGCGGCGTTTTCAATGCAAACATCCATGGGGGGTCTTTTTCCGTTGACGTGTTCAGTTCACAAACGTCTTACAACCAAAAGACCACTGAGAAAAATAAAAATTACTGAAACCATCAATTCGTACCACTAAAGATCTTAATATGTGAACTGGAATCGGGAAACTTCGATTACACGCTGTATTTCAAAACGTAATACGTTTTAACCTTAAACAATCCTGGCGGCAAGAACATGTAGTTTAACAAATGAATTTATATTTTTAGTTGGGGTTTTGCGAAGTCTACAAATGGGTAGATGTGTTTATCGTCACTAACGGCGCCCATCTCAACTTCAGCATAACGTATGAGAGCGGTGTCGAGTTCCAAATTTGCCGTCGGGGTTTTCGTTCTCAGTGAACGCAAATTTTTGGTCATTTCACGTTGATGTTTTGCAGAGGACAGCTAAAAAAATGTAGGAAATTTTACAACGCACGTACTGAGCTATTTGTTCTACTCATTAGATCTTTTGTTTTGTTCCGTCCTCTTCGGGGCCGTCTGAGTATGAGCAAATTTCTGAGTTCGGAAAAATAAAGCCAGATCAGATGGGATAGTACAGAGAAGTAGATCATTCACTTAATTCACATCTATGACCATCTATGGCTTAAAAATGAATTTTTAATTTACACTCCAAACTATTGTAATGTTTTTACAAGCTCCAGTTTATCAAACTCTATTATATTTCTTTCAATTCTCCTCCTACTTTTTCTTTTACTTTTCTTTCGAATTTTTATTTTCTTCTTCTAGTTTCTCAGTTTTTGTTTTTTACAAGTTAGTGCTACATCTATAGTTCCTCAATTCAACTTTAGGGAGTTCAACTCGATTAGTCCTGTACAAACAGCTGAGGATATTTTTAAGCCCCTGACGATAATTTCCACTGAAAATGAAACAAATCCAAGGGCTTATAGCACAGTTTGATTGAGCCAGAAAAAAGGCGATATGTTCGAAGTATCGGAAACTACAAGATGATATCATAATTTTGTCTGATGAATAGAAGCTTAGTAACATCCGGATGGTGGTAGGCATCCAGCACACTATGAATACCAACACAACAGCAACAGAAATCTTCAAAACATATCTGTCTCTCTTCAAACGTTGCTCTCTTACATTTACTGATTGCTCGCCTGGGATCTTCTGGGATTTAATTTTGAGCACAATGGTGACGTAGAGTATGGCTATCAAAACTAAAGGAGTAAACCAAAATACAACGCTCAATGCCAAAATGTAGCTTTTATAGGGCAATAAATCTCCAAACGCGTCCTTCCATCGCAGCTCACACGCTGACCCATTTGGACTCTCGACAAGTTTCCAGGCAAACAGTTCTGGGGACTTGATAGCAATGGAGATGATCCAAGTGGCGAGAATAAAGAAACGACACAACTTAGAACTGATAAAGGGAGAACGGAAAGGAAATACCACAGCTCCAAAACGATCAACAGCCACCAGGACCAGGCTTTGTATAGACACAAGAACGGAAACCTCGATTGAGTAAGAAAAAATTTTGCACATCGCTTCGCCGAAAGGCCCGTCGATCGGCCAGAAATCCACGTACAACCCGGTCGCAATACGCGGAAACAGGAAAACCGGAAATAAAAGATCGGACATGGCCATGTTTAGAATGAAAAAGTTGATGGGTTTTCTTAGGGTTTTCGTCTTGTATACCACCAGTGCGATAGGGATGTTTCCAGCCAGCGAAGCTACGAAAAGCACACACATAACTGTGGTTGTACTGCTTATGGCTGCT